GGGGGGGGGGGGGCGATTACTACACGATCCTGAAGGAACGTTTATAATCTGTTACATACACATTCTGCCATTATAAAAATACTATTTTACAGAGACCATTCTCGCAAGCACACGCATAATCTGTTAATAATCGTTCCTCACGCAGCCACGTAGACTCACGCGAAATAATTTTTGTTATATTACGGATAACGGAAACACGCTACGCATATTCGATCGAAGAGAAATAATCGGTGTCGTTCTTATATAAAATTAACATTAACGTTAAAACTCTAATGGAAATAATGGTGTATCGTATTTACACAAATAATGGAGTAGGCTGCATGAACGGTTTTAAGATTACGGCAGCGGTTTCCAAACTGGCCGACATATATACGCGGCAACACGTGCACTCACAGATTCATCCATACAGACACAGTTACTCTCATACAGATATATAAGACGCATACAAATTATTAATTAAGAAAAAAAAAAGAAAAAAGAATCGCATAGGAAAGAACAATATACATTTCTAATATTTATCATCTGCCGAGGAGACAGAATCCTTTCGCGTATCCTGTTTGTAGAAATACGCTTTTAATTTGTTATTAAATCCTTAAAATGTGTCTAGTTTCTTGTTTTTTCTTTTAATAATCATTGTCATTGTCGATTGCGTCGTCTTGCTTTGGAGTTTGACGATGACTCGAGTCAGGGTTTGTGTATATATAATATATATATACGTGGACAACTATACTCACGTTTAATGTTTGATATAGCAAAAACTGATTGGTGGTTAAGTAGTTTGAAAACCACTGAACTATGGCGCTAATTAATTATTATGCTACGTGGTATCGTACAAATAATAGTGAACCTTGAATCGCTCCCATCCGGTTAGTTTCACGTACGAAGAACGATGATAATTCTTGAATAGTGGACGCCTCAAGACGTAGACGTTTGCTATCCGCTGTGTTCTTTGGCGTCGTGAAGAGAATAAATATTACTTCTTCTTAGGATCCTTTTGAAGTTCTGCGAATAGGCAGACATTGCTTTTTATGGTTTCTTGTTAAGTTAGTAGATTTGATTTTTGTTGGAGTTGCTGCTGGTTGAGAGGGTCCTGTTGTACCTGTACGTGTCAGGATGAAAGCTGATTTGATCCACTGAGAATTGACATCACGTTGAAGATGATAATCGTGTATGGTCCTGGCTGTAGATTCAAGTAGCATTACAATAGTAAACTGCTCGTATGAAATAGGATCATGCTAAAGCATGTATCAATCTATTTTATTATGCATTGAGAATTGGCATCACCTTGGAGACACTAGTCGAGGATGGCCCTGGGTGTAGGTTCAAGTAGTATTATGATCGTATACTACATATGTGAAGGAGGAATACCTTTGCTTTTGTTGGTATAATCCTGGTTATGTATCTTGGTGATGATATCTTTGTCCAGGTGATGAGTCTCAGATGAAGAAGACAGAGGTATGCTTGTTTTATATTTCTATGTGTCTTCGATGACAAGTTTCATTGTTGTAAGATACTCAGGACACTTGGGCATGATCGAACGAATCTTGAAGGTTATTCTTGTCGCTTTTGAAGCAGATAGCATCCTGGGATGAAGTATGGATCTTGTTGTATCAACGAGAAAAATCTGCAGCGGTATAGCACATTATCATGACGACCTGCTAACAGTCCTGGCTCCGGTGATCTGATTTCTCATTCTTGAGTAAAGTTCACAGTAGCAATAAGAGAGACAAATATGTGTAGAGGTTTTCTTGAATAGAAGCGTAGAACAGGATGCTTGTAGTAATAAATGTAGAAATTAATAGTCGGTGACAGATTTCCTGAAGATGCAACGTAAAACACGATAGCGCTATAACTATAATGCTAAATACAGGTACAGGAGGAGACTATGTACAAGGGACGACACATCCGAATGCTTAACTATATACTTATTATTATTTTCCTTTTCCTTTCTTTTCTATGCAGCGCGAGGCGCTTCCCCACGACCACCATCTGTAGCTGACAGTACGGATACCGATGTGATGGACGCGTTCATCGCGCCATAAACTACACTACATAGTTTCTTGAAAAAGTATATCCTCGGAGTGTCAGGAATACGAGATACAGGTAGGCAGGTCGAACTGGGTCGAATATCGTTGAACTAATGTTACCGGATATGAGACTCTCGGTATCTTTTTGGAGATCCTCTTCGTTATCTTGTAGATACACGTTTACGTCTCATACGTCTATTTTTTTAATTGCGTATGGACTTTTTAAATGCAGTTTTATTCCGGACCAAAATACCGGTTGCTGTGCTGTTTTCCTTATTCTTTTCATACTTTTTCGACAATCCTTTTGCTTGTTGTGTGAATCGATGATATCACTTGATGTATAAGAATGTTCTTGATACCTCGATGACTATTTACGCAGTGTCTTCTACAGTGGGCAACCAAAATGCCATGTTTGTACAAGCAGATGCTAGCATCATGTACTTTGGATTGAATTGGATACACTGTACGGGTGCTGGATGATCGCCATTTAATACACACACTTTATACCCTGTGTCCGCATTCCATACATGTACTCTTCCATCAGTGGATCCACTGAACACAAACTGAGAGTCTGGACTGAAACTAGCTTCGATTGCAATACCTTTGTTATTTAGATATCCAGCAAAGGTCTGTAATGGTGTGCCATGGAAGGCATCGATGAGTCGTATTATGCTACCGTTTGTAGATATCAAAATAGTCTTGCCATCTCGACTGAACTTCAATCCTGTCCAATCACACTCCTTCTCCTGAGAGAGCTTGAACGTAACAAAAGGTCCTTTGTCAAAGCTCCTGAGATCGTATAGTTTTATACACTCTGAATTAACACCAGCAGCAAAGATGAGGCCTTCTGGATCATAAGCAGCGACTGGACGTCCAGAAACATTCATTACTCCATGACAGTTAGGTGAACGTAGATCCCACAATCGTAGGGATTTGTCCAAGGATCCTGACAGGAAAGTATCCTCAATAGGACTGATACAAAGAGACACAACTTTCTTTGTATGGCCAGGAAAGTATCTGATATATTTGTTATCGTGGAGGCTCAAGTAACGAATGGTGTCATCAACCTTCGTGCTGCTGTGTATAGCAGTATGCTTAGCGTGGGTAAAATGTATCAGATCGACCCCGTACTTCTTGGAGTTGACGGTGCGAACTTGGGTACCCTTCTCGCAATCGTAGATAACGATCTGATCATCCTCTGAGCATGAGATCAGCGTATCCCCACTAGGTGAGAAATCGATGCTGTTTATCCGGTCGGTGTTCTCGCGGAAGACCTTGGCAACCTTGAAGCTCCTCACCACGTGGTCGACGAGCTTCATGGCGATGATGGGGGCTTCCTGGGGTGGGCTGACACGGCCCTCCACGCAATGCTTCGACGATGGGGCGGCGGTCGTAAACTTCCTTGTACTTCCCAAACAACCGGTGGCTAAGTCGTACGTCACCTTCCTGGCAGCTACACTCCTCTCCTTGTGACACTCACACCCAGGGACAAAGGGATTCTTGAACCAATGGACGCGATCGGCAAAATCACCGCACACCACACGCACAAATCCTGCCAACTGTTTAGAAATGGCTGGCGAGTACCGTGCACGCTCCCGCCGTCGCTTTAACCACCCTGGCTGTTCTCACGGTCCGCATGAACCGCGTCCGCAAGAATCGCCGACGATACTTTTTCTCTGTGGAATCACAATGATGTTTATACACCATTAATCGAACTTTCGAGTCTGCTATTCATTATGTATAATTCTATCCACTCTGGTATCACTATGGGAAACTTCCATCAGCGATCAATGCAACTTTAGGAAGATTTGAAATATTATCTGTACCCTATATTGCTCACTGTGTTTTACTCGCAATCAAGATCATCACGGCTGGCTGAACTACAATTGGCTACAATAGAAGAGACCAGGAACGTAGCGGGGCGTAGTGGGACGTAAGGATGGACTTCAGTGATTCATACGAGCATGTAGACAAAAATTGAAGAATAATGTATAGATATACGTACGGTGGGACGGATGGCGAGGATTCGTAATAATTTACACATTTGCCGTCTTTTAACTAAACTCAATCTCTACGTAAACCGGAAAGTAACAAAAAATGTACATATAATTTACAAATACTTGTAAGATCAACAGTAATTGCAGTATATTATTGTTGTTACTTAATTGAATATATGCGTAATAATAAGACTTTGTACTCATGTAATTAATAAAAACGTTATTTTACATTTGAAAAATATACTTTTTTGTCTTCATTGTTTTATTCATAGGATTGGTTGCGTCGGTCATGATACATTTAAAAATAACAGTAGGTGGTGCCACTAACGTTCCAAAAGCAGCGTTTGAATCCAGCGGGAACGAAAATCTGGGATTTTCTCAGTTCATTGAGTTACTTTTGTTATTTAGTGCATTTTAGTGATAACTGCCAAATATTATAGTGACGCAGAATTGGTTGCTAGTGGAGTTAAAGTTTTCAAGGTAAATCTTTTCAATTTATTTATAACTTGTTCTTGGTAGCTTTGTCTTAAATTTATTCATTAAATGTATTGTTATTTAATGAATATTAGTAATATTTACCTTGTGCAGAGCCTTGTTGATGAAAAAGGCTTGAACTAAATGATTTGAGTTGCCTATTTACATGAGAGTTAAACAAAGTGGATCGTACACCAGATACAGGGATCACAACTGATATCGATGAAGATGCAGTATCATGCATGTTATTTCTGAAAGTTTTGTATACACTTACGACAGCATATGATCTGTGTGAAAATAATTCCTTAGAAAATGCAATGAAGGATATGGAAGAAGCTGAGAACAGTTTCGACAAACTTAAACAACAGTAAGCTAATTAAATTGAATCAGTTTAATCTTATTTGGTATTATAGATTTCTTGAAGAAATATGATTATTCTCCATTATTTGCTTTGCATAAATTTTATAACTGATTTCAGAATACCTAATGGTTTATCGATGAAGGCAGTAGAGCACGTCGTTAAAGGAACAAAATGCTTTATTCTTCAAAAAATGAATAAATCTAACGATATTAAAAGTATTTTGGAAACTATACCATTATGTGAGGACAATTTTGAATTAGGCACGCTGTATGGTTGCCAAAGTGCAGTATGGTCCTATTACTATTATACAGGGTGGAAAAAAAGTATGGAATATGGTAAAAGGTATGGACATACTATGATCTTTCCCGTGGTGATGCACAGAATGCTTGCAAATATTACCTGCAAGCTATAGAAATCGATCCGGAATGTCAGAATTTGAAGGTACAGTACACTATTGAATTGAATTGAATTAACACTATTGAATTTTCAGAAATTTTATTCTGATATTTCTAATACTAAATTCAGCGTTTTTGACATACTACGGTGACACATTTTGCCAAAATTAAAAAGACTTCGAAATCCGGACGACACACTATCTGAAATGATTAAAAAGGCAGACAAATATTGTCAACACGAAAGGGAATCCGTGGAAAAATTGATGAAAAAAATTCTGATATGAATCAGAAAAAGCGAAATCAAAATTTGAACTGTAATGTTAAAAGAAGTCTCCTATATATCTCGCATTGAAGAATTACAAAAATGTTTAACTAGATTTTCTACGTATTAAAAAAAAAAAGCATTCGCGGATGCTTGATTTTAGAGAATACATCTGTGATAATATAATGGTTTGATAAGTTGTACCCATGACAAAGTATAAGGATTTATCTAATTTAAGGCAGACATGTATGTAATACTTAAAAGCAGTAGAATAAAAGAATAAATATTATATGGAAATAGTCTTTTATTATTTCCCGTTATTTTCTCTAATATGCGTGATGCGACAAACCAGCATCGCAATATTCGTACATTACAATGGAATTGTCAGTCTTCCTCGTTCTATACAGCAGCCTGCTTGGGGTAATTTTATTAAATTAAAAGTAGGAAAGGAAGTTTATTACATAAGAGGTCATTGGTAAAAACGAGTAGCCTGGCAGACGTATATATACAAAAATATATATACACAAGAAGAACCGTTCTAAATAAATATACAAATAGAACAATATGTCGAACTGTTAACTTACTGGTAATTCAATATTGACAGTTACGAAAAAAAAATGCAGAAAGCACGTAACCGTCCAAAATAATACACCGGCTAATACGCAAAACGAGTATAAAAAGAACCGGATTTCCAAATCGCATTTTGCTTTTTCATCGTAAACGACGGTAATACATACTAATCCTAAATATTCGACAAACTTACAGTACGGTGATCAGTTTCATCGTGAAATTCACTACGAAATTCTAATACGTCAATTACGATTCCCTGAACTGCGTAAATATTTGACACCATACCGGACAATGACTGGAGACAGGACCACCCCAATGCCACCCATGAGGAATTCCCAAATGTGTCAACCCTAACCTGATGACACCTGCTATTCCAGTACTGAATTGTTTCTCAGCATCCTTACCCCAAAGAATATTATCGTTATAAACAGTACCACCGGGATGAACTGCTGTACTTCCCTCATTTATTACTTGATCCAGTTTGTTTGATTCCTCCAGGAGGGTGAAATCTCCTAACAGGATGGAATTCTTGGCCTCACAAAAACCTTCGATGATTTTGTTGTCATCCGCACTATGTATGCGTACATTAATTATCGTCACGTCAAACTTGTTAATCTGAAAAAATAACAGAGTGACACGCGTTAAATTACAAGTTAGATATTCCTAAAAAATTCCTCAATAGAAATGCATTGATAAGTCAAGTTATTCCACGTAAAATTGTATTATATATTGCATGTCGAACCTACATGAAAAACTGCAGAGGCAACAACAGGAAGCAGGACGGTTGTAGCGGGTGGTTGTTCACGCAGAGCAATTCCTATTCTTGGATCCGAGTCCCATAATATAGCTAATCCAGCACCCAAATGAAGAGATCTCCAGACTCGTCGATTTTCTCGCCAGTCGCGAACCCTTTTCAGAACAGGGTAATTAAGTTCGTGCGTGAGTGCATCCAGTGCATCCGGGCTTTCGATTTCTTGAAGTGCTATAAGAGCTAGCCTAATACAATAGCGAAGAATGATTAATTGCAGATATCAATTGTTAATCAATACTATTAATACAGATTGCGCAGCAGCAATACAGCTTACCTGTTCTCCAATATTGTTCTGCAAATAACTTCTCTCACTCCTGGATTACTGGCTTTATCCTTAGAGAAAGTTTCAAGGTTCCAGGATGCCACTCTCGTTGTAACTCGATTATCGAGTCTGTCTTGAAAATCAATGGGCGTAGGAGGACGTGGACTGGCTACGCTTAATAAATCCCAAATTTCCTCCTCAGTAATGCAGCCGCTTATCTCCATTCCGTTTCTGCAGCCGTTGATTCGAGATCTGAAAGTTATCGTGATATTTATATATAGCTAAAAATAAATTATTAAATTAAACGTAATTTCTTCATGGAACTTACACAGCTAAAGATTTCGATATTCCATTCTTCAAAGTTTGCTTGGATAAGTTTTTGATCCCATTAGCTACCGGAGTACTGGAAGCTTTCGGATTGGACCAGCATGGCGAAGAAGTGTCATTACTTGGTGTGGGGGTTATCGAACCATTTGAGTCAACATCTATCCTCAAATATGGTTTTATCATTGTTAGACGATGCTTTCCCATACCCTGGACTTTGGCAAGCTCATCTAGGAATCGATAAGGTCCCTTTTCTAGCCTCCTTTCTACGATGCAAGCTGCTACTTCCTAAGTACATAAAAAAAAAATTCGTTTGATAATAGTTATTAATTATTCTTTCTGCTATATTTGTTTGAAATTTCATAATTTTTTCGTGTGGGAACTTTCGTCTACCTGGTTCATTCCAGGGATAGTTTGCAAAGTGAAAACACTAGCTGTGTTAACGTCGACCATACTCCCTCCATTCCCAACGGAGTCTAGGCTCAAGGATGCCCTTGAGGAAGTTCTGCTGCCATTTGTCGATGGTACGTAGACTTCCAATCTTATCGACTCTAGCTTATGAGCACCAACACCAGAGACTAATGCTAAATCTTCCACACGGTTAAAACGTCCTATCGCTTGTCTGTGGGCGACTATGTTTGTTGCTATGGCTCGTGTTATGCCAGGTAACGTCATTAACTCCTCCTCCGTCGCTGTGTTCAAATTCAGTTGCTCCACCTGTTACAGATCCCTGGTATTATTAGTAGAATATAGACCAAAAATAAAGATACGAGCACAAATTTAATTAATTAAAGCTTGTGCTTTGGACGCTCATGAATTTCAGTAATTTATTTCACTTCTAAGCGATAGACATGCTGTGAAGAGAGAAATTAAATATTTTTCTATATACTTTTTCATAAGGAATTTGTAATATCTTTGTTTTTTATATTTGTTTATGGGGAACTGCTTTCCTAATTAAATTCAAATGTCACTCAATGGAAATACAATGAATATACTATACGTATCATTTTCAAATGGTTTGACAACTATTTGATCATTCAACAGATTTAAGAACATGATTTTTCTTTCAAAGGTCCATTACATTTACTTAACAGTGATTAAAGGAAGTATGCTGCTTGGCCTTTGAAGCAGTTATCAGTTAAACTGGAGTGCATTAAGAACACATAGTAACACACTTTAGTATACACAAAAGCGATAGTAGAGTGAATAAATGAATACTGTAATAGCGAATTAAAATTTGTTAAATATTTACCAATTTAATGTTGCTATAATTGTATATTTTTGACATATTCATTTTAATTGATAATATTTTTAAACGTGTATTATATTCAGATGTTTCTTTTTCTTTGAATAATCAACAACTAAGTAGTGTATGATAAAGCAAAGAGCTTACGACTTGGAATATATAATCTTGAATTATAGCCAATTGGCATTGTTCCATAATATCTGTGTTATAAATAACTGCATATTTTTACAACAGAATAGTGTATCTCTAAACTTTTAATGATAAGATAGACGAAATCAAACCAAAGAATAAAAATTAAAAAAATATAATGGTTATTATAAGGTACTATAGTTTATGTATGAAGGTAATCGGGTCTCAACAAGAGATTATAGTTCAATAGTTGCAATCTTTGCTCTAAGCTTGTCAGATAAGATAGAGCAATAGATAATATAGTAGAATGTGTTAAGCTTTAATAGGTCTCACCTTCAGTGTTCCGTCTATGAATGTAAATGTATGAGACAGATTTTTAGAATTGTTTGACCGCCTTCGTCCTAAACCACCAAGTGAGATTCTTCGTAGATTGTGCCTCCGAGTTTTGGGACTACGATGCACACTTCCTGACTGACCCATCTCAATACTCAGCAAAGTAATTTGTAAACTGAACAAAAATTATGGTTCAAAGTAGTAAAGTAGTCGTGGTCACCTAATGATCCTGGAATTCAAAAATGAAATCCATAAGTATAGAAATTCATCAAATACATCAATCAAAAAAAATATTCTAATAAGATCACATACCCATATCGAAAAACATAACATGCTCCTAAATAATTACAATACTAAACGAAAATCTATATTTAATAAAATTAAAAAACGAACGTCCAAACTATGTAATAACGAGTAAGATAACAAAAATACTAAATAACGTCGATGTAATAATTGTAAATAGACCGAAGATTAAGTCACGCGCCCAAAAAATTGCGCAATACGTTATAGAAAGGTTTAAAAAAATGGAGAAAAAAAAGTATTCGTGACGAAAGTAAAAAAAAGTATAATCATCCGTAAAACCACAGTTATCGATCTTAATGTAAATTCATAATAAATATACTTAAGCTCCAATCGTCCTTTACATCTCTCCTTATAATCGGCACAAAATGAATGTCATGAAACGTAAGAAGAATCAATGTAAAGGTCGGAATCATAGTCCGAAACATTAACGAATACAGGCGTCCGTCCAATAATGAACATTGACCGCTGTCAAATATGGGGAGGGAGACAGGTTAATTGATAGCAAAGTTGACAATAGGAAGTAGTAGTACGAGACACTGTAAAAAAATTGCATGCTCATGCTGCCTCACGGTTATTCAGGCCGACGTGAAAAAGAGAATCAATTTGTTCGATAGTCAATCAATTACGAATGGCTTGTTGAGAAATCGTTTAATACCTACATGGTTTTTTATATTAACGTAGTAACCACAAGACGTATATGCACACTAGTACGCACACTTAGAGACCGATCTTAAGCGAATCACTTTTATTTTTGGCATTTTTCACTCAATCTTCATTATCCAAATTTCTTTTTGATTATTTGACTGGTCAATGGGAATGATGATTTTTGACTAATTTTTATTGAGATGAAACCGAATTCACTATCTGTCAAATTACTAATAGAAAAAAGAATTTTCGTTTATAACGAATACGAGGAACAACCTGCAGCCGTGCTGGCTGCTTCTGCTTTCCAGGGTTTGGCGCAATTCGTCTTGACCAACGACCAATAGAAAATCTTGACGAATCATCTTCATCGGAAAGTAATTTATGGAATGTCCCTAGCTTTGTATTTCAATTTAAAAGAATATTTATTTAGTCATAAGTCATTCTAGAAAATGATGGATAGTTGAAAGATAAATAGTAGCATAAAATCAATGAGCGATAGTTTTTCGTGTAATTGTATTTCTTTAATTATAAAATTAAATTACGATCGCGGTGATCAAATTTATTTTGATTCCCTGGTTATATCTTTGTCACTCTACGTTTATCATAAGCCTGCGTTTTTATGAATTTCTATACAGGATTCGTATCATTATCACTTTTATTGCAATTCATTTCTTTTTACGTTATCATTGATATATATAACAATATTGTTACGTGTTTATTATTCGAATGATTCTATATTCCCCGAAATATTTAAACAGATTTTAATTTGGTATCAGGCTTTGAATTGATTTTAAAATTTATTACGACAATCATTTAGCATCAATTACCAAACATGTACATATTTCATAAATTGATAACACGAAACAAATTTGTACGTATACACGTGTGTCATTATATGAAGATTTCATCGTAATTAGATCCACGATTTAATTTAATTTTATCTTTTTGACTGACTACGATATCTATTATTTATATGATTTAAAAAACCAGTCTACATCTACTTTTCTCGAAAGTACTGATTTCAACTTTCCGATGGCGGCAAGGGATCAACCAATGAGAAGCCTTGATTGCAAAAAGATGACGTCAAATTGAATAAACATGGAGGCTTGATATTTCGCTCAATATTTCAACCAAAAGCCGGCAATAAAATGAACAGAATATTGTAGGCTAATAATAACAGATAAAATTATATAAAATTTACACCCCAATATATTTGTACAATTGAAAAATTGTGATATTAAAACTTTTATGGATTTTACACATGGCTACAGTCACACCCACTACTTTACTACAGAAAATTGACCAAAGTACGATTACGAGTTAAGAAAATATTGTTAACACCACTCAACAGTATTTTCATTAATATAGTCCGCGGAATGCATATTTCTGATAAATTATTAGCAACTAGTCAGCAAATTGCTACGAGCGTGGAATTATTTAACTTTAAGGTGTACGCTGGTGTACGCGGTAACTCGTTATAGTCTATTTGAATAAAGTTCCGAACCGAGGCAAACTACGGTCAGTTTGCCGATCGCTAGCGTTCGTCGCAGGCCGTTTGTACGTGGAATTTTTACGATTCGCATGCGTTTTCCTTGATTTGTCTGAAGAAACTCGTGAATTGTCAGAATGAGTGCTGAAGAGGAGGTGTTGCGTATTCAGAAGAAGTTAAATAAGATGTCGAGCGGCGACGGAACGGTGAGTTACTGAATAAAATAAGGAAAGGTACACGTCGTGTAGGGACGCGCGGGCTTAATAGCCGGAAAGATGTCTACGATCGTCGAAGCATTTCGTATTAACTAGTTAAATATTGAACTTGTTGTCGGCTTTATGAATTCTTTGACGTAGTTCTATTGAAGAAAAATATTTCTCTTTGGAAAATACAAGGTGGTTAAACTAGATTCGACGAGACTTCGTGCATATGTTTTCGACTTGAGCGGCAATTTTTTCTATGTAAACATAAAAACGGTACCACGTTGTTCTAATGTATATTTAGCTTTACTTAATATTTCATCGTGTGGAATTCATAACTGTATTTAACAAGTAATCGTACTCTGGTCAATAAATGTATAATATTCATGTCCAGGGTATAAAGACAGATAAGATACATGCATAGTCACTATTTGTGTTTATGTTTTACATGAAAATAATAAAAATGTGTACTAAAATATTGAGCTCTTTTACGTAGTTTATTGATATTTTATTGTAATTTGAAGATATTTATTTATTATTATAATTTCACATAAAAATTGTTAATTGTTTTATAATATTCTTTTGAAAGGGTGAATCGAATGACATTCTTACTGTGAAGAGTAATGTTATGTAATTTTAATGTTAGGGTCAAGAGCAGGCACTGGAGTTACTCAAGGTACTGCAAAAGTTACCAGTTGACCTAGAATTACTTACGAAGACAAGGATCGGTATGACAGTGAATGCATTGCGGAAGTCTAGTAGGGATGAGGAAGTTATATCTCTGTCAAAGACTCTCATTAAGAACTGGAAGAAATTCTTAGGTAAATAGATGTTAAAGCATCTAGTAATCATACTGTTTCTTGCGAAAATAATACTTATTGATAAAATACTTTGAATCATTGGTGAAATATTATTATTTGATATCAGGTCCTGTCAAGGATGGTAAAGACTCTAGTTCTTCGAGCAGTTCCAAAAAGAAAGAGGAAAAGTCTGAGAAGAATAAAGAGGACAGTGACCAAAAGAAAGATAAAGACATTGGTGATGGTGGTGACGTGAAAATGAAGGAAGAGAAAAGTAGTAAGGAAACTCAAAGAAAACAAGCCTCATTTCCTGCAGCAACCACAACAGATGCTGTTAGGCTAAAGTGTAGAGAATTATTAGCCTCTGCACTTAGAGTGGATGGAAATTCCATCGATGGGTGTGCTAGTCCTGAAGAGTTGGCCGAGGAATTGGAAGAAGCAATTTATGCTGAATTCAAAAATACGGATAACAGATATAAAAACAGAGTAAGTTTTCGTCATTTTCTAAATCCTGTTAATTCCAAAACTAACGCTAATACGTAAATTATCTAATGGCAATGTCATAATGTAATAATATAATTGTCCTTAATGTTTCAGGTACGCAGTAGAGTAGCAAATTTAAGGGATGTGAAAAATCCTACCTTAAGAACAAACTTCATCGTTGGTGCTATCTCCTCTGCCCGTCTTGCCGTAATGACGGCGGAGGAAATGGCCAGCGACGAGATAAAACAATTGCGAGAACAATTCAAAAAAGAAGCCATCAATGACGCACAACTTGCTACTGTACAGGGTACGAAGACCGAGTTACTAAAATGTGGAAAATGCAAGAAACGTAATTGCACATACAATCAAGTTCAGACTCGGTCGGCTGATGAACCTATGACTACTTTTGTATTGTGCAACGAATGTGGAAATCGATGGAAATTCTGCTAAGAAACTTTTGTCTCCTTTCGACCTCTTCTTCCTTGGTCTTGAGTTATTGAAGGTGAGTTTGAACTGAGGGTATTCTTAGCGAAGAGTGGCAGTTGTCAGAAACAGAGACAGAGCAAAGAAATATTAAAGTTAATGTCAAAGACATCGAGATTTTTAATCATTAAATATAAGCAATATCCATTGATATAGTTTATATATCATTTAAATCGGATTAAACTGTAGGTGAGATATTTGTGATTTTATTGTATTTAATTCACGCGGTAAGGTTCGATTTTATTGACAGAATACACATCGATGAGACGTTCGTTCTATTACATTCAATGTTTTTCTGTTACCTGCATATGTCTTTTTCACTCTGTCCTCCTAGGTCTCATACAACTTAATCGCGCAGTTGCCCTCTAGTTCAAATTTCGGAATAGTTTTATTCTGATGAACGTTTCAGAACCATATCAGTAACGTTTGGCTGATATGGTAAAAGGTAAATCAGCGTATCAATATAATAATTTGTCAAAAAAAAGGTCCGACAAATTTTAATTAAAAATTTTACGAGGTTTAATCTGGAACCTCATACTACAGACCTAAGTAAGAAAATAGATTGTGTATATTATTGTGTTCGCAATGCATCACGCGAATAAATTGGTGTGCAACACGAAAATTTTTTTTTCTTCATACTCGTATTCTCCTGTTTCTTTGTATCCTATATTTATTTGTTAAATTTTATAACATTGCTCTCTACTTGGCGCGAGATTATCGAGGACTCTTCATTATGTTATGTAACATTTAAAATTTTGTTTTAGCTATACAGTTATTTATTATATACAGAATAAATTTATTTGACAACTTACTTGGCCTTATGCCCCACGTAATAATACTAATCGCACTCTGATTCTGCTTCACATCTGCATATTATTGAGATACGTCTGGCTCTTGGCACTGGTTTTCCTTCAAATATCGATTCTTCGGGTCCTAATACTTCATGGTTGTATTTTTGTCTTGCTATACCACTAAAAGGATCAAGATTTCACGTGACTTTAATGATGTAAATTTTAAAAAGTATATTGTTCAAAGAGAGATATTAATAGATACCTCATTATATAGAGGGATCTTCTTGGTAAAAAAAAATCATGTTTACATTCTTCTTCATGATTAACCATTGTTAAACGCATTACAGAATCACTGAGCAAACTTAAACCAGCTATAATGTCACCACAAAACTAGAATAAGAAATAATTGTTAGATTCATTGTAACATACATGATCTAATGTGAAGCCATAACGATTAAAACGATTGTATAAATTACCCTAATACTGTCTACATGAGGTTTTATTTTTCCTTCCGCAGCTAAATCCAATACATGCACAAACTTAAGCTGTGGTTTACCAGGTGGAAATGCCTTTACACGAACTTTATTGATAATTTTGGTATTCTCTTCATTCCATTTGGCACGTTCTGTTTCTCTATAACCATGAATAGCCTGCAATGAAAAATAAAAAAAGAATAAAGTATGTCAAATTGTTGTACAATATGAACAATTCTAAGGGTAATGTACCGACATCATCCCAATGAGCGAATTCATATCGCAGTCTCTTCATGTATGGTTCGACTTCTTGGAGTAAAGACTCTTCTTCCTGTGGCGTAAGGAAGTCAGGAAAAATTTTCATAGTAGCTAATAATTCAGCCTGCCAATTTTTAGTGTCATCAGCATTTGATTTAGTACTGTTTTCATTTGTTTTATCACGTGCAATAGTTGACATGTGTCTAAAACATTTGGCTCTTGCTATAGACAGGTATCTTGTAGATATTGACTTTAAAATCATTCTGACAGACTTTCTGATAAATGACAGTACAATGCAAATACTGGAATTGAAAAAAAAAATTCAAATATTTAGATTACATATAGTCGAATTAGTAATTATTACAAAAGTCGATTAAGATATTAATATATTCCTAAGAAATGTCAATAACATATCAACTGAAAGTCAACGAATATGTAGTAACATAAAAATTCTCACAAATATTTAATGCTATTAATAATAAGTTAAATACCACTGCATTATTAATCACGTCAATTATAGTTACCATAAATAAATCAAATATTAATTATACCGTGCAATTGTTGTGATTTATTTTAAGTATTAGGTTATTCAATGATGTGTTGTCGATAACGAAGAGACATGAGCACATGAGCACTATTTTGCTTAAACGAGCCGGGAATTTCGCGCTTTTTTATTCTATCAATAGGAAAGTTAAATACTATTCTTTTGATAGGACTGCAATAAGACTGCAACAGTAATGCAATAAGATATATAACTTTCTTGAAATCTGTCAAGCGCTTAGCTGACTTTTAAATAATTTAAAAAAAAATTTAAAGTATCCAGACGGCATTTTACCACGTGAAGATATTCAACGTCGGTTAGTCGATTAATTACATCGTAAAATGAAGTTAGTAATAGTTGCACGTGGATCTTGTAATTTGTTGAGTAGCGCGCTATTATTGTTATTATAATTATAATTATTGTTATTAATTCGTAAGTAGATAGAGAAATATTTTATAGTTTCTTTATAGTAGTCAAACTAAAATTGCAGTCTGCATCATTTTACTTATTAATATTGTTTTTCATCAATTTTGATACATTGTTAATATTGGGGAATAGGCAATTTTACAAATATGTCATCAGTTAATTGTTTATGTTAGTTTTAAGAATGGTCTTCTTAATTATTGCTTTTAGGTATTGCTATAATTTCATTGCCAATTAGAAATGGATCTTGAATTAAAGGATTGGCAATGCGATGATGATGATCCCTTTGAGTTTACACGAAGGACAGCATTGTTGTTACGTGGATTTGGCGCTAAGGATTTGCTTTTACAGTTTAAAGAGAAAAATATTTGTACTACAGACTTACCGTACATGACGGTGGAGGATTTAATGTCACTTGGTAAATATAATGTAAATTTCATTCTAATCAAAATAAATGTTATCATTCTTTTATCAGTGACATGTATTTATTTGTACTTTCATAGGTGCTGATCAAACCCTCGCTAAGAAATTTAGCAAACAAGTAAAAACTTTAATAAAAAGTAATAATGGTTCAGCATTGGCTTCCGATGATAGGTATGGAATTATTGGGTATATAAATTATTTTGCTAGAAAATGTGCTGAATTTAAGCTCGTTAATTCCTTACAGACATAAACAGTTTATTGAAATACTGAAAAACGGACAGCAACACCTGTCTTTCATCCAAGCATTTGTGGCTTATGCTCGTTTGAGATTAACAAGAGAGTCACAAGATTTCTTCATAGATTTAAACGAAGGTGTGCGTGCCAGCGATGCTCTAAGAACAGCAGCAATGGCTGTAGTTACGGAAATAGAAGATGTTGAGTATGTGCTACGTGATCTGGGAGCACTTGTTTCAACGGTACAATATTTAAACTAAAAATATTTATATTATATTATTAATGTATTGGAATACTATAATTATTGAAACACTATGGTTTTTTGTAGAAAGAGAAAAGATGGAAAATTCGATTCACTCTGACAACGTTGGTAACTGGTGTGGGAATCGCATTATTCATAATAATACGCAGAAAAGTGTACTAATAAGATTTCTCAATAGTTTATATTTTTGTATCTTAAATAATATTGAGGAAAATATTGCTGTGAGTTACAAATAAGTATTAGTATATTACTATGGATTATTAAAGCGTATATTATTTTTGATTTCTTACTGTAATATGAGTGTTTCTGCTCCTTGACCGCGGACAATAACACCATCTCTTTTCTTACTGTCTTCGGCGCATTGCAATTTACATTCAAAGATCCTGCAACAAATTGGTTCATGATTTTGCTGCAAATTGTAACCGATTATTGAAATATAACTACATACGCTATCAAATTATTCCACTGTTGAGTTTGATTCTCGCTCTCTATAGCGCGTTCCTTTAAACTTTTTTCATCATCCTTCAAGAGTTTTGACTTCTTTTCTTCCACCTGTATCATCTCGTTTAGTTCATCTCTTAATGTTGGACCTCCTCCAGGGCTTGCATAATGCTGTCACAAATAATGAATTTAAAAACTACCACTCCCCATATGGCGCACGGTTAAAGTATCCTTACAGTATAGAAAAAAATATTCCTCACTCTGATCTCTTCTTGAATTCTGTCTTGGGCTAGTTTTAGTGTAGCTATCTCTTGACGTAATCTTTCTATTTCATCGGTATCCTTGAAGACAATTAAAGAATGACATTAGAATAGTTGTTATAATTTTCAACTGTGTCAAAAAAACATTCTTAAATAACCTTTTTGACATTTTCTCTAAGAAGATTTACTTCGTTCAATAAATTATTCATTGAACTCTCCATACTGGTTTCAATAGAACTGTAACTCCTGTAAGCAGCTATGTAACGCTCTTCTAGTTCTTGAAACTTTTGTCTTAATGGTCTAAGCTCTGTAGCAGTACCAATTAATGTGTTAACCAAATAAAGATTAAACTTAAACCTACACTATGCACTTCGTACCATTTAACAAAGGTGCAAGTTGAGCCCTGAATGCAGAAATATTTCTCGATAGTTGTGCATTGATCGTAGCAGCATTTTCTACTGTACAATCGTCTGGCAGGACCGTAGCTGATCTAACAGGCATTGCATCATCGGTTGGTTTTAATTTTGCTAACTAAAATAAATCAGACATAAGTATAAAAGCTTCAGTCAATCCTAGAGAATCTATTGATGTACCTGCGCTTCCAAAATAAGAAGTGTTCGATTAAGCACTCCATTCTCAGCTCTGAGTCCTGCTAATTCAGCTCTACGACGTTTGTACAAAGCACTTTTAGTTTTAAGACGAGCAACATATCGTTTGAGTTCATCTCCTCTAGGTGCTGGTTCTTCAGCCAAACGTCTTGCTTCTTCTCTTTTCTCTTCCAATTTGACTTTTAAGTCCGTCATTGCAGCCTCAGCTCGTTCTAGCTTATCCAATGCATTTCGTTTCATTCCAGCAATTGCTGCAGCTTGCTGTCTAAACGGTGCCATTTTATCCGCAACGCCTGCTACAGCCTATCAATAATTATTTTTTACATAAAAACTTAATATCAATATACACGTTACAAGGAATATAGACTATGTACCTTATTCTCAGCCAATGCCTGTACTTCTCGAGCAGCAATGTCCAGTCTGTTTCTCAAGGCAACAATTTCATCTGGTCCTAAATGTGCTGATTTCACTACCGTAGTTAGTGCTTTAACGTGAGCCTTTTTAGCAGCTAATTCGGATGGAAGTCTTTCTTTGGTAACAGCACTTTGCACCATGACCTCTTCGGATAAGCGTTGAATTAAAGCCTGAGACGTTAGTCCAGCTCCCATTTGTTTTAATGTCTGTAATTCGCGCTCTGCTCTCTGGAGTGATACCTGACAATAATTCATAATTAAATACAGGATATAAAAGTGCAAAAGCTTTAATAATTTTACCTGCAGCTTCACCATAGTATCTTGCTGCTGTTCTTTCTGTACAATTAGTTCTCGTTCCTTGTCTCTTTCGACACGCAATTTTCGTGCTGCTTCAAGCAGATGAAGCGCTGGTTCGGCTCTTAATTTCATTTTTTCTACTCGACCTAATACTACCTATGTTTTTCAATAATATTTTTACTTGAAATACTTAAGAAGAATAGATGATAATTTATTGTAAACATGAGTATTCTTACTTCGCGCTCTTTTTCCATTGCTTCCAAATCTGCTTTTAATTCAGCAGCTGCTTCTCCGCCCTGTATAACGATGGATATGATACTAACTGTTTTGTAAATTGCCATTTATTTCAAATTAGTACCTTTTTCCCAGCTTCTCTTTCTTTATGAACCATCTTGAATTCCTCTACAAGCCTAGAGTACTGTTCATACAAGGCAGCCATTTCTGAATCACCAAGATGCTCTAGTGGTATTTCCACCTGTAATATCATCCAGCTTTAAAGATGACGAATAACGAGACATTAAAGCTTCCTGATAAGTAATTTTAGTTACCCACCTTCACTAGGAAACGTGCCAGATAGGCTCTTTGGCGAGCCAGTTGCATATTTGATAGAAGCCATTTAAGAACGGCATAAATTGGTTCTGCATCTCCTCTTACGAGACCTTGCCTAAGATTTTGAAACTGGATTGATTAACAGAGCATAGAAATTTCAATAAAAAACAGTTCACTATACCTGAATATTACTGGATCGGAATTGGGCTGGTATTTTAATATCCGTAAAGCTGAAAAAATACGGACTGAACTTTGCTCAGGAGTTTCAGTTCTTACATCAATCCTGGATCCGCCTGGTTGTTCAATCTCTGATAACACATCGCTCAGGATCTAATAGTTATTAAAAATATTATATAAATAAAATATTTATAGTATTTGGAGTATAAATTATTTGAAGAAAAAAAATTATTTAACATACTTGCAACAGATCCTCCGAGTTCAGAGCATCGAATGAGATTAAGTTGTAATTCCTTCCGAATAATTTATTTAACTCCGTGACAATAAACTTTATATCCTCACTCATTTCTTCACCTTATTAAACTCCGTTTTACTATGAATAATAATGGACAAAGTAGGATAACGAAATAAATGCTTGCTACAAATGGTGGAAAGTTGTGACATGGCGTTACCATGGATATCAGTATCAGACACATTTATAATTTTTCCACCACAGAGTATATAATCAGAATTTACTAATCAGGTGTTAGATTTAACAAAAATATAAATCAATGAAATTTGAGTCTTAGTAATTTACCTAAGATTAACTTTACGAATAGTTCATTATTATAGTTAAAGCCAATAATCCATATTCCTTCTTTCCGTTCCAAATAAAACTTTTATTACGTCCGTCGTTGGATCTTCTAGTCCGTTATTTTTATTATAAACATTTGTTACAATCTATAAAAAAGTATTTTTTACGTATACGCGTCATTCACGATTCTTGTTTAGCCTGCTTGGCAGGTGGTCCTTGTTCAATTACAGTTTCATCAGATTCATTTATCTCTTCGATCTTCTCCGTTACCGCAGATAATTTCTTTTTTGAATTTTTATTCTGATTCCGCTTTTTCTTGGAATCTGATCTATCTGACTGAACCCTATTGAAAGGTTTTTCAATGAAAATATAATACACTGTATAAATTGTTTAAGTATGCAAAGCAGAGATACTTACATTGTCGTGGAACGTGTACCTGGTCCCCAGAAGGAAGTTGGATTTTCTTGAAAACGGGTCAAATGTTTTTGTCGTGAAAGAGGATTAGCCAGAGGATGTATGTCGAATGAAATTTCTTTAGTACATTCCTGGGTGAGAATAGCTAAAGCAGGACTGTTTTCATCAAGTTTTTCACGTTTGGCAGGATGATCCTTGAGTGAGAGTAGGTTCTTGTTATATGAGTGCAAACAGAAATGTTACAAGAAAATTGACAAAAAAACCCATTACCTTCTCCCATGTTCGCACAATGTCCCATATAACTTCATTTGGCGCATCTGTTTTTATCGACACCTTATTGGCATGAGAGAATGACACTTTGTAACCTGCATTCATTAAAGCCGACCTGAAGGCTAGAATAGTTGGAGTATGACATCGTACAATGGACATCTAACAGATATAGATTAAATATTTAGCTATGTGTGAAATAGTGCAAAAGTATGTGAATAATTAATAAATGTTTACCAAACGATCAAGTGTATAATACAATGGTACGTCTAATTCTTCATGTACAACATTTAAGACGCCCTGTATTCTTTTTAAAGTACCTAATTCCATGTTATCAAGAGTACACAAGAGTTTCGATATAAAGACTTGATCGTGCAAAGGATCTAGCCATATTGGTCCACCGATCTAAAATGATTTTATAGTGAATCTTCAAGATATTATCTAGTTATGCATTGTTTACGTACATGGTGTTTATGCCGACAATGCTTGCACAGCTGATCCACCACAGGTCCATTAGCCAGTTTGTAACCTCCATTTGGTTTAATTGCACCAAGTGGTTGAATCGTCATGGTCTCGCATCCTACACATTGATATATCATTCCCAATTTGCTGGTGTTAGCTTTGCATTTTATTTGCCCTGAGAAAACTCGTACGAATACTCGTATGTAGAAATCTGCACTGATGCACAGTACTGGTTGAATATATCGGCCGTAACGTCCTGCATGACACGAGATGTGCTGCAGCAGTATCCTTAAAGCCTGCGAGTCAAAAATATTTGTGAACGTTTGTGGCGAATATAAATGTTAGATTTTTGATTTAGAAGTAAGTCATTTAGTAAGTTCTTGGTTGACGATTAATTCAACTACCATTCGTACATCATTTTGGATGTGTAATCTGTAGAACCGATTCTTACTATTTCATGACAAGCTTTGGATTTCAGAGAAATCGCACCGTACTTCACATAGCAGGTTTCTGGTGAATTACCAGCTAACACTGCCATATCGGTTGCTGTGACTAAAAGCAATCCACCATCTGCAATACACTGTACAGCACTATCTAGAAATATGGATGGACATCCATATGGATCCAAATCAACAACATCGAAACGATTTCTCCTGCTCCGATACATAAGCATGCTGCAAATTAAACGAACTTATAGTGAATTGATATCGTTTTAATTTATTTTATATTTGCAATTACGTACGTTGCATCGTCGTGACTCGCAGTTATTAAATCTTCTACTTCATTGTGCTGTATATTTTTTTTAATACTATCGACTGCCTTTGCAGAAATATCATTAGCTGTGATCTGCTTAATGCCAGGGATTTCTTTAGCATATCTTATACTGCGCAAACCAGTTGCAGATAATGCTTCCAATACCGTAATTCCATCCTAAGGAATGAATAAGCAAATAAGATTAAGACTATTAAGTAAAAATTTCGAAACTCGTTAAATTATATTTCTTAAGAATGTATATTCACCTCATTCCTTAATCCAGCTTGTAAATTAATATCCTCAATATTTATTCCATTATCTTTTAACTTTGGATCTTTCTTTTCGAGCACAGTCTTGTATCTAATTTTTGAAAAAAAGGATATCACCGCAATACTGAAATATAATATTTATATAAAAATAAGAGTATTAAACAATTTCTAATATACATTTTAGAAATGAATAAATTGTACCTAAGATCCCGGTTAAATTCTTGCACGGGGTTATAAAATACATTCTTTTCAGCAACTAGAATCTCAGCTTTACCTTCCTTGATAACTTCTGTATGTTTTGAAATTTTCTTAACTGCATCACATTCAGTTTGAGTAGTATCCATGAATACTTTTCTGTAATAATTCAATATAAAATACCTGTCTGAATGTGCTATTACCCTATGAAACATGATATAACCAGAAAAACAAAATTAAATTTACAGTAAACGTGCTTTAAAATTACAAAATCCAATGAACCAGCGGCAACAACTGGGTACAGTTTATCCAGGATAATTGTAATAGCTGCTTAAATTCACAGATGACAGCATTTTCAAAGTTACGTCAATACGTCAGATTCCTGCAGCATCAAACGCATGAGAAAAATATTTACCTTCAGTCCTTAGTAAAAGAAAATAGCATCGGTACAGCATGTATGGATATTGTTTATTGAAATTTTACAGACAACTGATTGAATAACTAAACCAGTAGACCCTAACTAAATTTATCAACAATTTAGACCTTCCCTTTGAGAGGGCTTTCAAAATTCCCATCAGTATTTCTAGGGATATTCGATTTTAGTTCTGCGCAGTAGATACAGGGGCAGTGCAAAACGTGGGTATATATATGTCTTCACATAAGAGTATCCAACCTCTGCCTACAATAATGTCGAGTTTGCTATGTTGTTTGTAAAATGTTTTCTGTGAAAGAAGTAAATGAAAAACTAAAATCAAGTTAAAAAACGACTTATATATAATTATTGCTCCAATAATATTGTAACAGTGCTACTGTTCAGTGCAGGTATGTGCAATTTTTCATGTTATCAGAAAAGAATGCCCAGCGTCTGTCTGTCAAAAAGACTAATAATAACATGTTTCATAACTTGTTCAAATTGTTTACTTCTGACGGATGTGTGACACAAATTATTTATCATGGGACTCATTTTCAATTAAAGTTGATACACAATTTTTCATATGTTCGTGAATAATGTTTACCAATTTTATATATATGGGTGATAAGTTAATTTTTTTTTAAATTTCATTTTATTATTGTGCTACGAAGGTTGATCTAATTTTTTATTGGATTCAGAGTGGTAGATCCAAACATGAATCCTGTAGATGGAAATGGTGAAAAAAGACCACCAAAAAGTGTGGTACAAACTGTAGCACAAAATCTAACCACGATACAGAATATACAGACTGTGCAGACTGTTCAAAATGTTGCTCAAAGCAGTGTGCAAAATATCCAACCAACACAGACCGTTGTTGGATCAGTGGGAACACCTACAGGATTAGTGGGTAAATCTGTATCCTTGGAACTAAACTCGAAGCTGTCTTTAATGAAATCGTTAGCACAGCCTGGCACAACACCGTCAACAGAAACAAGCAAGATGACAACAACGGTAAGGATATCATTTTGCATGTAATCCAGAGAATTAACTATAATAATATTACACCCAACTGTTACAGCTTTGTTCAGTTGGCTCCACGGTTAGAATAATATCGCCTGGAATGTTAAGTACGGTAGAACGTCAAAGCCAATCGCAAGGGCAGCAGCAAGGACAGCAATCTCAGCAGATAGTTACAACGATCCCAGCTACGTATCATGTACCTCGTGGACCAGCAGCTGTTGCAAACATTTCAGCCCCAAGATCAACAGTAGCTACTCCAATTGTCCGTGCAAGTACGGGACAATCTATACCTATAGCGAGACCTGGGTATTTATCACACAACTCTGCTATACTTCTAATTCATCGGAGCATCAATTAAGTCCCATCTTCATTACAGACCAAACACAACAGTATCAAATCCTCAATGGCAACCTAAAACAACATCTGTTGTATACGCACAACCGCAAAGACATCCAGTACCTCCGGTAAGTCGTGTAACAACAAGAGCACCAACAGCAGCATACGCTGGACAGCAACCACGACTGGTATCACCGACTCAAGGACGACCTGTGCAGGCCACTGTGGTCACAGGGGTTCCTGGTGCACCATCCAGATTGATAACACCAGTTCTCCAAGCAAATAATAATATTGCGCGATTAACAGTAGCGCAAAGTAAACCACCGACTCCTCAAGTAACCAGCATAGCTCAGTTGCCTCAACAAGGAAGACCAGCAACACAGACCCTACAAGTAAATCAAGTTCGTTATCTCAGTGATAAGTTCTTAACTTGATCACTCTAATATTTAATATAAAACATTCACGCTTGGCATGTTTTTTCCAGCCCAGCCAAGCAAGTAGACCCTTGAGCACCACAACGACCGTCAACCGCATAGCCGTTTCCGCGCCAGTGATAGGAGCTGGTAATAGGATATCCAGTACAGCATCAGTAACCGTGCAGCCAGTAGGAAGGCAACTAGCAATCAGTACGACTGGCGGAACATCCAGCGGCAACGTGAGTCGTATCGTGGTGCCCCAGCAGCAGGTAAAGTCTTCATAGACAGTACCAGCGTGAATGACTATAAAAACAACCAAACATCCCACGTTCATCTTCGTCTAGGTACAGCAACAACAAGGAACACCAAGGGTAGTTCAAAGTGTCACGTCCCTTTCGAATCTCGGTACTGTGTCGCGAGTGATTACGACAACGGCAAATGCAGCAAACGTAACTCGGGTAGCACAGCAGACCCCTACGTCTGTCGCAAGGATAACGGGAATGTCGCTCCATCCGCTACCTCTGGCACCGAACAGGGTGACGCAGGCTGCGATAAAGACACCCCAGGCGCAAAATGTCCAACAGACAGTACAACTGAAGCCATCTATACAGCAATCGAATCTCAGGGTGTCCAGCACTAATACGAACATCGCTACGTCGGCTTCTAGTACAGCTCAAACGGTTCAAGGTCAATACCTGCACGCACCTCAGACCACTACCTATTACTCTTTCGAGCCCTCGGGTGAGTGGTCCGTTATCAGGGATTTGAATTAACGTAGTATCAGGATTTAACGAACGCTTCTCATTTATCATTCTCATTTAAGCGTCCCGGGAGTATTTTCACAGGATACTCGGCTTCCACCCTCGTCTTTCGCTTCGTTCTTTTTATTTGTTTGATGTCACACTGAAAGATTACGTTTGATAAGTGCACTTCCACATCCGCTAAAATACTTTTCTGTAAGATTGTCATCCGTGTTAATATTTTATGCACAAAATAACAGGATCTATGACGTTGCTAGGTACCTACTCACAATATAGACAAACTGCTGTACAGCCGGTTCGTCTTCTAGTGGAACCAGGATACGAGGAACCTCATACGAAGCCTAACGCATCTCCTAGGCCTAGTATACTCCGAAAAAGAGATCATGATAGCTCGCCTGCGAAAGGTATTGTTATCTTTGTTTCATTGCAGCCTATATAAGTGGAACACCTAACTTAATCTGATCTATTCTAAAATCTGATTATTCTAGGGGTCGCAAAAAATTTGGTTCCTGTCCTGGCATCCTTACCACCTGCTGTCTCTACCTCGAGCCCACCATGTTCTCCAAGAGGAGACCGGGATGGTGGTGGATGCCAGAGTTCAGGATCTACTACTGTCTCGGCCACATCATCACCAGGTCTCGACGAAGAGCCTGATCAATCTAGAATCACGATTAATCCAACTGTGGAAATGTCACCCAGGAAGAAACCGCGCAAGCAGCAGCTTACGGGAGTTGAGCTTACCGAAGCGAGGTGTACAGAGGAAGAAATGCAGTTTATCACTGAAGAAAAGATTAAAAAAGAACTTAAGGAAGAATTAAAGGAAAAATGTAACGAGAAGAAACAGATTTCAGGACAACAAGATGCTAATAAACAATCGTCTAACCAACGAGTACCTGCTGCCATTCGAACAAGACCAACTCCATCCTTACTGGGTAAGGTTGTTGTTAACGGTACCGCGAAAAGAAATTGATAATAACTAATGCAATGAACAGTTATCACCATTATGAATCAATGCGTTTGTTTCTGATTTAAAAATAGGATCTTCGTGGAAGAACAGATGGGGCGGCAGACTCCATCACTATAGACGTCCTAGCGACGTAAGACCACGCGAAGAAAGAAGGCCTTCCGTGGCAGAGTTAGCACAACAAACACATGTTCTACAAAAATTAAATGGCTGGAAAGTCTATCACCTTACCGCACAAATGGAAGATCTCGCTGAGCTTGAGAAACAAGTACGTATATATAACAGTTAAAGCAACAAAATATAGCAAAATATCGAATGATCTATACAGAATCAGTAGAAGTAAATTTGTATTAATCCACTTGGGTAATTTTGATTAACAGGTGCACGAGAAATTAAAGAGTACACTCTCCATGTTGGAATCTCAACAAGGTAATAAGGGTAGGCAAGATGATGGCTTGGAACGGGCTAACGAGCTCATTAAGGGTAACATGCAACGAAGTAGTTTAATTAGCGAAGGAATGAATGAGGCCCGGACGCAATTGATAGCAATATTCCAGCATAAGGGACACGTGACAGACATTCTACAACGTTGTGGTAATAAGCGGGCTCAAAAAAAAAGAGACAAATGAGCTGAATTAATGAATAATTAAATATAATTAGGGTAATAAGGAACCTTGTTGAGAGCGAGGTTGAAAAGGTGTTATTTTTATCTTTGTCACAGAATCTATATTATCATAAATCAATAAATGGTTTTATATGTCCTAGAGGGAGATATCGATCACTCATGTACGCCATAATTTGTTTTTAGATTATTATTGATCTTTATTTACCGTAATCCGTACTCTTTATTTAATCATTAATTATATAGAATTACTGTTTATATTCTAACAAGTAGATTAACTCAAATTTTGTTAAGTATAAGTGGCGTAAGTTGCTATAGTAACTGTTGCACCGTAGCAACATCAGTAAATAGTTATCTATCTACTATGTTAATGATTGAAGTAAGCTTGTACTGAGAAGTATATTTTTCATACTAAAGTCTTCTATAAAGTGTACTTTTGAAGTTTTTTTTTATAAAATGTGGTGGGGCTATAGTCCACCGTTGGACTTGAGACTAGAAATTCATGAGAGTGAGAATAATTGTTTGGAGGATCCTGTGGAATTTTTAATTGTAGGAAGTGCTGATGCGAGACATATCACAAAAACTCTTGCATCATCTTACATGCATCCTAAACGTCCTATAAGATTTCATGTTATCGAACCAACTATGGAGCAAGTTGCCAGATCTATATTACTTCTAAGTACATGTTTAGAGGAAAATTTAGGTATTGAGTTTTCATGAGGAACTTAATTGCTGCAGTGCTCTGTTAACTGTTTCTATGTTTCTTATGAAATTAGGTCTGCAAGAAGCTACGCAGTATTATTTGGAAATTTTGGGAAATACGTTATTGAGACCTGCAACAGCTAAATATTTGGTCAGACGTGCCAATAGATTGGTTGATATACCGACGAAAACAATCGAATGTCCCTGGCTGTCTTTGGATAAACTAAAACATAGGGACAGAGATCGTTTGGAATGGATTTTTAAGTAATTTTTTTTATTGATACAAGTGTCTAAATAGTAATGGCTTTTAGGATATCTGTATAATACTTTACTAGGTTTTGGGGACGTGCTACCTGCGAGGGTGTTCCTGTTGTTGAGTATTGGGATCGCAGAGTGAGAAAATTATTAGGAACTCGATATGATTATAAGGATGGTGCCTTTGATTGGGACTTTCATATGGTATTGAAGCCCCGAGGGCATAAAAATTTAACTATACAAGAGTACAGGTAATATTGCTTTAATAATATTAACAGAATATTATGAAAGTGGTAGTATTTATTCTATAATCATAAATTATATTGGAATTAGATTTTGGAGAAATAATGGAATTGCGTTTACTTGGTTGGAAGGAGAACCAGCTAGGAGTAATCCAACTTTGCTTAGTAATATTTTACCTCAGGGAGATGGTTTCTTTCATTATGCCTACCTGGGGGACATAACGAATGGCCCTTATTTGACATGGGCTCTAGATGAGGAGACGGAAGACAAGAAAAATAAGTAATGCATTTGATAGGATTATCATTATATGTTACTTGATTCTGTATTTTTAATTTAGAAAGCAGAAATTAAGGGCAACGGATACAGCTGAGAAGGAAGTGTTACAGGTAATTCATGAAATAAGAACAAATGAACCACTGTGCTGTGAATTGGTGGCAGCACACAGAGATCCATCCATCTTAAATGGTATCATAATGACAGAGATGCCAGACAGTGAAATTGAACAAGAATCTTGGAGTTTGGGCAATACGATTTCAAGAATGAAAGAAACCATTTTATGGAAACTCATTCCTGATATTCAGGTATTTTAATTTCTTGAAGTTAACTGTGTCTAGACGAAAACGAGATTTAAATTAAAATGACTATCTTTATTGCAGATAATCATACACCCTGTAACGGCACTGGATAATTACAAGAATAAATTAGAATTTATGAATAAGTTTGACGTCGTCTGGCTATCACACAATATGACAAATCAATTGGGAAACACAGCACCATTATTAAAAACAGGAGGAAAGATGTTAATCGAGTCAAGAAAATTCTTAACGGAATTGCGCAAAGATGATTTGGAAAAATTTACAAAGGATTTGAAAGCTCAAGCTAGAGACAATGGTCTCAGAGAATTAATTGACTTTGATGCTGAAAAACATGTAGTAGCAAGGTTCTGTAAATGCTGAATGATACAGTGTCTATAAAATGTTATTTACATACAGTATATTAATATGTTTTCATTCATAACTTTTGCATAAACATTAAAAAAAGTAATCTTGTCAACAAATAAAATAAGTTACATGAATATGTTGTAAATTAAATTACCATACCAATAATATTGTCAATCATTATTTCAAGCTGCAACAATATATATATAAATGTTTAATTTCCAAATTACTCGATACTCATAAATGACTGACAGACATTTATTGTTGATAAATTAGTAGGTCATATCGAAGCATCAAATAAAATTTAAGTAGAAAGACCTAGGGAATTCTAACAAGGAAAACTGGCGATGCCATATTTTCTTTTCCCCACCAATCAGTGACAATGGCAGGTAGGCAGTACGATAATTAAATGCCATTGAAATCGTATTTATTCATCACTATTTGTAATAGATTACCTTCAGCCTAAATAGCCACGTGAAAATTGCATAAACACTCGACAGAAACTAGTCAAGCTCTCGTTATTTCGGATGGAAAAAAGGACTGTTTAATGACCGAAGGAAGAAGAATAAAAAGTCCCTAAGGTTGGTGCGGTAAAAAGAGTAAGAAAAAACTTTGGTTACGAAGATCGGCCAAAATCGCGGGAAACGTATCCCGTGAGGTCGAGGTACAATTCACTAATTTTAATAATTAACTAGAGCAAAAATCAAAACATCATCTATTTCGTAGAAGCCGAAGTGAAGCTTACTGCTGGAAGTACGTTTGGTACATGAAAACGTGGCATATTTTGGAGAATTGAGGTAACCCTCGAAAAATCGGCCATCGCGGCTATTTTCAGCGGTAGTGGAAATTGTTTTCGACGTACACGTCTCGAAGGTACGCTTGGTGTTCCTGTAATTTGCATCGAACGACTCGTGGGAAGTTAAACTTCCATGATCTGGAGGATCTCTTTGATTGGGATACGAGATATCCTCTTCTAACGGGTCACTATGAGCTCGTCTGATGCAGAGGCCCATGAAGAGAGTTCAACGGAAAATTCAGAGTCAAGTGATCATGACAAAAGCGACAAGGAGTCGAGAGAGGCATCTGATACTAGCAAGAAAAAGAGTACTTTACGTTCAAGCATCAATTCACCTGGTACTAGCCGTTACGGTCGTGCTATTAAACCCAAGTCTCCTAAGAACATGCCTATAGTCTCTTCTCCAAAGGTATGTTGTTATTTCTTTATTGGCTACTGTTTAATATCTTGGTAGAGGCTCTAATATCATGGCTAATGCGACGTAATATATACAGGCTTGATTAGTTAGTTCTTTTTAATATTACAGTGGCTTTTTGTTTGGAATTTTGTACAACTAATGAAGGTGCTATATTACGTCACATTCGCCATGTTTACAATGGTAAGTTTTGCTAGGATGACAATATCAAAATATTTCAATTTTTTTGTACATTTATTACCCTTCACACAAATACCAATATTTATAACATTATGCATTAATTATAATTTAATTGTATTTCTTTTGGAATATTATGTACCATTGTCATATACAAGTATTTTGGAGGAAATATTTGTCTTATTGCAGAATTCTAAAATACCAAAGATACGTAGAGCTCAGGCTTCTATTGAAAATGCCAATGGTATATTAGACAATAGTTTCAAGGACAGTAAAAAGCCAGAACAAGAAGAACCTCCAATGGCTCCATCTGTAGAACAAACAAATATTCCTATAACTGAAGAAGCTTCTGTCCCAAAAGTAGACAGAGAAACGATAGACTGCAAATGGAAGGTGGGTCAATTAGGTTGGGCACGAGTTGGTACTTTTCCTTTTTGGCCATGTGTTGTAACATTGGATCCTGCAACATTCTCTTACCACAAAATAAAATGTAAGTACCGAAACTATAAATTATATTTTATTTAATCAATCATTTTTGGTCAGAATAATTATAAAAATGGCTAAAAGATATGAGTCTCTGCCATTCCAGTTAGACTGTTTCTGTGAGATGCCTTATATTTTAAAAGATGGTTTAACTCATTAACCTTCATGCATTTTAGCCCTGTACTAATAATAATTCAGTGTTCTATAAATTGTGGTCGCTCCATTTTTTTTATCATAGTGAATAAAATCAAATTTTGCATTCATTGGAAAATTTCTTAATCAGCAACCGGCAGAGCACAGACGATAATGATACACGTTCAATATTTCGGCGATAAGGGACGCCACAGCTGGGTCTCGTCGAACTCAATGATAGCATTTACCGGTTTTGACGATTTTCAAAAGCTTGCTGAGTCGGTCACTCAGACAATAAAAAAGAAGCATCCTAAGTACGCAGCAGCGTTTTTGGTCAAACCAGGAATAAAACAAAAATGGGAGAGAGCGGTTTCGGAAGCTGCGGAGGTTTTACCTATGACAGATCTAGAAAGATCTGAAGTCTTCCAACCTACAGTGCAGGAGTCGAAGTCAAAATCGCCAAGAGTCATGAAACTGAATTATAAGCCCAAGAAAAGGAGACTTTCGATTGATTCGAATGAGCCTCTTTCAAAACGCAATAAGCAAGACAGTGTAAGTTTGTACTGTACCTATAAGTTGCATGGTCTTATAAGGACTCGTGAACCCATCAATAGTTTGTTATCACTTAATTTTCCATTACATATTAATATAGTCAAACGAAGGGGACCAAGAAGAGATTTCAGAAAAATCAAAGATGAAGAGACAGAAGCGTGAAGATGAAGCAAATAATGAGAAAAACGACATCAGCATCAATGCAGAAACACCGCCAACTCCACCGTCAAGTCACAAGGATTCCAGTGATGAAGCAGCACCAGTGCCAAAGCCAAAGACCAAGAGACGTAAAAAGGAACCAGATGGAGACTTTGAAACGTATTTCGAGAGAAACCGAGATATGGTAGAGGACGAGCAGCCTGATGCTACGGAGGCAGAAATAAGACGGTATTTAAAAAAAACTTGGGATGCATTAAACCCTTTGTTACGAAAAAAGTATCAGTCTAGTATGAAGCCCAGGAGTAGTACGCCGACGGACACGTTAACCGAGAATGAAACAGACAGTCAGGAAGTTGTAACTCCTAGAGAAAACAAAAGATTAAAGTCAAAAAGTGAGAAGGTTAGCCTGGTGACGAGTAAAGCTGAGAAATTATCATCAATGACAAGTAAGGCTGAGAAAATAAGCCTAGTTGTAAGTAAAGCTGAGAAATTGAGTGCGATGGGGAATAAAGTGGATAAAAACGAAAGTGAAGAAACAAGTGGAACTGAGACAGTGAAAAAGACAAGACCCTATAACCTATTCAAGGGAACAAAATTAGAACGCGTTTGTCAAATTTGTGAGAAAACTGGTAAACTGACTAGGTGTCGAGGACCTTGTTATTCCTACTTTCATTTATCTTGTGTGAAACCTGGCGAATCTAGTCCAGAACACAGTATGGACGGTAGCATCGCTGAAGACGATGTTCTGAATGGAAAAGTGGAAACAAAGGAAAATCATGTTGAGGACGATGATAATGACTCCAATGATAAAGGAGACGGTACGAGTCCCATTGTATAACCTATATAAAAATTAGTGTGCAATTTTTTAATTAATATTAATTACAGGAAAGAGCGATGAGCAATCGGAAGAAGAAACATTCAAATGCATAGACTGCTTATCTGGCGTAGCACCAGCATGTTTCATATGCAACGAAAGAGAAACTGATAGGATGAGGTGCTCTGTCTTTGCTTGCGGAAAGCACTATCATCCAGCTTGTTTAAAGGCGTGGCCTCAAGTGAGTTATTTCCTAGTCCTGTGAACTAATTCCATATTTCTTCATGTTCTTATATCGTCCTTTTTACTATTCCTTGTTTCGCTTTCTATTTCATAATTCAGGCTCACTGGCAGGGCGGTCGTCTCTCATGTCCATATCACGTATGTCATACTTGTAGTTCAGACAATCCTCAGGATAGTCACTCGCGTTCCACAACTGAAAAACTAGCACGCTGCGTTCGCTGCCCTTCCTCTTATCACACGTCGACATCGTGTATACCCGCTGGTTCGGTTATATTAACTGGCAGCCAGGTCATCTGTCCCAAACATCTTAAATCGCCTCAGCCTCCTTTGAATGCAGCTTGGTGCTTCTTGTGCACTCGTGGTGGGAGTCTTATATGCTGCGACACGTGTCCAACATCCTTTCATCCAGAATGTCTAGGTGAGATCACAGTAAATAATCCTAATTTTTTATCGAAAGGAATTACTTAAAACTTCCTGTTTAATTCTTTATTTTCTTGTTATCATAGGTATCGATGCACCTGACGGTGCATTTATTTGTGAAGATTGTGAGACTGGCAGATTACCGCTCTACGGCGAAGTTGTCTGGGTTAAACTTGGTAATTATCGTTGGTGGCCTTCACGTATTTGTTATCCGTATGAAGTTCCACAGAATGTGGCTGCGATTGCCCACAGTCCAGGAGAATTTTGTGTTATGTTCTTAGGAACTAATAATTATTACTGGGTCCATAGGTATGTGTTTGATTTCGTAGCCTCCGTGTAAAGGAATATAGATATATATTAAAATTAACTTTCATAGGGGAAGAGCATTCCTATATCAAGATGGTGACGCCAGTACAAAAGTCACTGCCGGTAAAAGAAACGTTGACGAAGCCTACAGAAAAGCCCTGGAGGAGGCCAACGAGGTTCATCAACGTTTAAAAACTGAAAGGGCTGCCGCCAAGGAGTATGGACCAAGACTGAAACCTCCACCGTACGTCAAATTAAAAGTATGTCATACAATTTTATTAAATCCTTATTAATCCTGAAGAAATTCTTTAAATGTAACATTCTTTGTTGCACCAGGTTAACAAACCGGTGGGTAACGTTAAACCTACTGAGGTAGAGAGTATGGTAGCTTGTGACTGTGATGCAGAATGGGACAATCCATGTGCACCGGATACGGACTGTCTTAATCGTATTCTTTCTGTCGAATGTAACCCTGCAATCTGTCCTGCTGGGTCAAAGTGTAAAAATCAAGATTTTGTAAGGCGGCAGTACCCTGGTATGGAGCCTTTCCATACTGCTGGCCGCGGTTGGGGACTCAGGAGTCTTGAGTTTATTAACGCCGGCCAATTTGTCATTGAATACGTGGGCGAAGTCATCGACGAGGCTGAGTACAAGCGTAGATTGAATCACAAAAAAGAGCTAAAAAACGAGAACTTTTATTTCCTGACTATAGATAATTATAGAATGATAGATGCAGAACCTAAGGGTAATCTGAGTCGTTTTATGAGTAAGTATTCTCATTCTTGAAAACCCTTTCATTCTTGTTTATGATTCTAATTTCACTGTAATATCGATTACAGATCATTCGTGTCAGCCAAATTGCGAAACACAAAAGTGGACGGTGAATGGAGACACGAGGATTGGTTTGTTCGCTCTACGAGATATAGATCCTGGAGAAGAGCTTACGTTTAATTACAATTTGGCCTGCGATGGTGAAACAAGAAAACCATGTCTTTGCGGTGCACCAAATTGCAGTGGTTTTATAGGACTTAAGGTACAGAAACAGCAGCTGACTACGATACAACAGAAAAAAATAGAGAATGCTGAAAAAGTTAAACGTCAGAGAAGGTAAGTGCCTTATACGACCCTAGCGATCAGTTTAGTAATTAACTGTGATAAATCCTATATGTATTATCAGATGGCGAAAAATTTTGTGCTGGTTCTGTGGTGGTTCATTTACAAATACCGAGGATATATTAAAATGTGATCAGAAGACTTGCAACAAGAGATATCACAAGGTCTGCGTAAACATTGAAGACTTCGACAGCAGGTTTAGCTGTCCTTGGCATCACTGCGCAGAATGTGGTCGCAGGACATCTGCACATTGTTCTTTTTGTAGCACTGCTTTCTGTCAAGGTAAGCAATCAATAATTTCAGTTATTACATTAATTAATTTCATACTTCCTAACCCAAAACGTAAAACTAACCCTGTGCATTGCATTATCTCTTTCACACTTAGCCCATCTCGATGGCAATCTCATGGAGTATGGAGACAAGGGAGGTTTTACCTGTAAGCTACACGAAGGTACGGTTTCTACAAAATCTCCACTGGAAGACGAGAAGGAGGATTCGGGTAACGACACAGAAACCGAAAAGGAATGTTCTTCAAGAGGTTCCAGTAGCCCAATTCTAACAAACAGCCCAGTCCACAGAGAACCTTCTCCCAGAGTCTCAATTGTAGAGGTAAGCCGAAGATTCTCCTATCACCGGTGTAAGTCTTCATAACCGCAGAAGGGGCGTCAGGGAAGTCTGATACCAATATGACGGAAATTGCGGAAGTCTACTTGTACGTATAAACATGCAAAAGCGGATATGGCTGAAACTTCACTATGCTCTATGCTCTCATATAGCATTAGCTTTCTATGAGTTAGATATCTTTTTCTTTCTTTCCATCTTTCAATCACGTGGAACTTTGTACTAGTACAAAGCGGTTCGGTTCTCTAATTGCTCTTTATTTTTTATTATATTATCTTTCCCCGACTCGTGGGTGGTGGCTAAGCATGACGGAATAGGCAATGGTTCTATGACAACTACAAAACGTCGTAAATTTATGCCCATGGTAATTTGGGCATACGTGGGCCGTAATGTCATTTGTTTTTTTATTTACGTTAATTCATTAATCGATCGCTTTCTAATCAAAGAACGTTATCAATTTTCGTAAAAACGTAAATTACATAGAATGATACAATTCTGAAATACGTAGCCACGCGATCATGTTTCTATAATTGTACGAATGAGGACTTTGAAATAAAATTAAAATTCTCAAGTTTACGCACACCTACTGCGTTGTACTTTTTATTTTTTAGAAGATGTAACGTTCTTTTATTACTTTGTCTTGAAACACGCGATGTCTGGCATCGAGGAATTTTTCTGTAAAAATTAATCGCTGCTTAATTCGAATGCGGATGAATTATTATGATTTATTAATCAATGTATCGGTCTCGTACCTGGTGTCTCTAAAGCAAGAGATATAAGGAGAAAAAAAGAAAGACGTACTGGATACAAAAATGACTTTTTTTTTCAAATTATTTTTCTTTCGACCCATTGTCCCTATTTCCTTGTTGGTTTCAATGACTGTTTCCTCGCGGATAACAAGAGAATCCCTTTATCCTGAATACTTTGGTGTAACGTCTTTAATTATCTTTCACTTCTTTACCCCCACAATTGGTATTATTGCTAAAGAGAAACCTGGGAACTTTTGCATCAGCCTCCATGTTCCTTATAGCGTAGTAATTAGCAGTAAGTAATCGTTCTTACTTTTGTCCTCGTACCAAATGTGTCTATGACATCGGCAGAAGCAAGAAGATGAAACACGATCCACGTAGTCCTGTGAATCCACTGTAGCTCCCCGTTATTTAAGTTGGGCATCCCTTTGTGCATTTGTTTATTTGTTTGTTCTAGAAGTAAATTAGACGTTTTGTTGAGTTGCCTTCCGTTCTTAGGCCTGACAAGGGTCCACCTAAGCGGAAATATACGTCGCAGGTTCAGTTGAGCAGCGAAGAGGGTGAAGAGTCGCAGAAGGAGGATGATGAGGAGGAAAGCGGAAGTACGTCTAAGGGCGCACCGGAAGTTGGGCCAGGAGTATCAAGGAAAAGAGTGTCGAATCGTATATCATTGAGAACGCAACGCGAGGAGGAAAGAATTAGAACACTGAATGCTCTGACGTCTAGTCAACTGGAAGCTATTATCGGCGGAAGTTTGGTTGAGGTTAACCAGACCACTTGAGGATAAATAACAACGGCGAGACAGTCGACGAAACCGAGGAGCAAGACTGATGAGTGTCCATGGCTGAGCCATTGGATGTGAATAAGATTTATGTACTTGTGGTGTAGCAAAGTGAATGAAAGTGTACGGGCTGGTAATTTAATGATATATAGAAAACAAACATAATGAGAACCCAAACTGTCTAGTCTCCTGGATAGTAAGGTTGTCTTCTACATCCTGGTGATCATTTGGATTTTATTGGGGTTAACTGGGTGGTTATATATATATATATATTATTGAGATTGTTGCGAGGGGTGACAGTTTCTATTTAAGAGAGTGGCTCGTTGCTTTGTAACTACTCGCTGCCACAAAGTAATCTAGCAGGATATATGTTAGTGGGGCCCAAGTTTTAGTTTTATTTTTCCTGTTAAAGCGTCTCAGACATTTGGACTATTATGATGTTAGAATAAGCATTTTGACACTGCCTTATATGAAACTTTTAATTTTCTATTGATGATACACAGTTACTATCGGGATATCTGTTTATAAGGAGTCTTTAGAATTTACTCTGCAATTCTGTGGACCGATAGTTGCTGGTGTTGACGAATTTTAATATGTTATCTTTGAAAGGAATACACGGTAAGATCATTTTATTTTATAATCAAGAGCAAGGATGGCGCCTAGACCAAAATACAGTTTTTTTAAAGACTGCCAAAAGATTCTACTGTTTTCCCCGTTTGTCATTCATCAACGCATTGGATGATTAAATTGTTTCTTTTAGTATCATACATAATCATCATTGCAATTTTAACCATTTGTTATTATCGAAATTTATTGTTACCGAGCGGAAATTGTCAACTGATTTTTTTATGTTTAAGAAGTAAAAATATATACATATATACAATAGGTACCAGTTGTCTTACTACAAGAAAAAAAAAAGAAAATCTTTGAAAAAATTGTTCATTATTGTGTCTAGGACGTCCGTTCGTACTTAAAAGAAAAAATCATTATGTTTTCTATAGATATTACTTTATTTTATTCGCTGTAACAAATTTACAATGTTTTCATCGATTATCAGGTAGGTATTGATCGTACAGCACATGATTTCTGCTTATCAATACACACGTAATATGAATGATTAAGAAATTAAAAGTCTTTCAAAGAAAACAGATTTTTAGATCATTAGTACCTAATAATTTTTTTTGCTTATCCGGCTGCCAAAAATTTGGCTTGCATCTTTCTGAAATACAAAACTACACGAATTTTTCGCATGCGTAGCCACGAGATAGGTAAATGTAAAAAAAATATAGAACCAATTACCAAGCCACACATTTGGTTTTATTGAATTGAAAGTAAAGTAGAAACTTAGGCCGAATTAATCAAGTCAAACTAGAAGCTCGCAGTTTTTTTATGTTAATTTACAGTCATAATTAAGATTGTGCGTTACTCTCCAAAACCGATGAGGGTAATCAATGGGATAATTTGACGCGAGTGTACCAATAGGATTACAGTATTATGATTTTCTGGTGCTAAAGATAAAAGTAACAAAAAAAGAAAAGGAAAAACATATTGTACGACTGTTTTAATCGAAAAATCGATTATTCTTAATACATTTAATGTTAACGAATACCCGATCAGTGTCTCTTTAAGACCGTATAAACTCCTTCATACTTATTTATAATTATCCTGAAAATATTTTATATAATCTGCGGGAGAGACATGTAAAATCACTTACGGAAGCAAAAACATCACCTTGCCAAACCAAAAAAACTGGAATGAAAGTATGACAAAAAATTTCGTTTCCCAGAAAATAGTGCTTTAAAACCTAGTATCAGATAATAAAAAATATCCGTAGCACTGAAATTAGCAAGTGAATTTTTCACCCAATCAATTGAATCAATTTTCAAATTGATATAAAATATTGCACAGCGTTACAAGATGAATGTACAGATTTGTTAGTAATTGTAGAAAATAATAGCACTTGAAGTATTAATAATTATCACGAGCGGGTAACGATTAGAAATAAAAATTAATAACGACAATAAAAGATTACGAAATTGTTCTCGCCGAAGATGCTCTTTGATTAATGTTATCTTATACTGTTTATGCATTTATCGCTTTGAACGGAAGTATGCATTGTTAAGTTCCATTATAATTTCGAAAATGCCGACGAAAGCATTCTCCTTTTCGTTTATTATTGCACTAAGTCCACGTAATGCCGTGGATTCAGTTATACTGAAATATCCTTTTGCCATAGACGAAAGCAGCCCGTCTATACTCTGGGCTGTCTACCATAATTCTGATAAAGCTTTGGACTTTCCTCCACATCGAGATTCGAGCTCCTCGCGACTGGTGAACTGAGTTCAGAGTTGGACCCTCCGGTAGATATAGTCTCTACAGGAGAACCGTATGTAAACTTTTTGCGTAACACAGGTGCTATGAAGCTTTGACCAGTTGCCAGATCTCGTGGTGGTGCTTGAACCTGAAAATGATCAATTGTAGGACCCGAAGACATCCTGTTTCTGAGACTTACCTTCGGCTTGGAAGCAGGCAAAGTAGCCCCGGTAACAAGGCCCAGAATACTAGCAGCTAAACCACTAAGCTGTACTGCAGCTAAGGGTGACAAACCTCTTCTAACTAGTCCTAATGCTAAAAGAGCAGCTTGTGCCAATACAGGTGCAGCGCCCGCTGCACCTGCAGCTGCTCCTGCTAACTGACCTCCGCCTACACTTGGACCATATGCAAAGCACAAATTGTGCCTGTCCACCTAAATTGGAAGGTAATTTATATGAATCATAATTTTGACACTGATACCTATAGTTGGTCCACGAATAAAGCAGCTTAGTGACAACTGGAAACACATGGTTCATCATACGAACTTGCGTAGCAGCATGCGCCTAATTCTCGGTACTCTTGCTAAAGGCAACAGATAGTTTTTTATTGATTCGCCACACGTTAAATTTGGCAAACAATCATTGGCAATTAGAATGTTTCGCTTGTGGACCTACTATAGATTCCTGTTTTATGAAGTAAGGTGTAATTAGGCTCACCAGGTGTTTTACTAAAAGATAAAGCAATCCAAATGGCGTTATCAAAGGACACGCCACACTATAAACAGTAGTCATTGTAAATACTAATAGCAGCCATGCGTAATGAGCACCTAGTGGAAATTCCCATAAAACTGCTCTTCTAACGTGTATACGTTCTGCACGACTTCTTGCTATACACAGTCGAAAAGTATATAGAGCCAGTTCAGGAAATCTTACCAGCTCCAAACCACTTCCTAATAATGCTGCTGTGATCACGTAGTTAACAAAAAGTGCACCCTGCAAATGCGTTATAGAAATGCTTTATATGTACAATACGTTATAATTTAGTAGAGTAATTATGAATTGCATGCCTGATCAGGTAAGAAGACACATTCCCATCTTCCTGTATTGTTTCCAGCATTCACTGTCCAATCTAAAAAAGCTTGGGCACTGGTCAGTCCAAGACTAGGCAGTATCAGAACCATGAGTAACAGAAGAAGTAAAGTTTTTCTCATAACAGCTCGATTCATTCCACTTCTCGTCCAGTGTCTAACCAGAGCTTCACTCCGGCCAACTAATGCAGGCATTAAGGCAGCTACACTCACTAGCATAACAGTAGGCAGGAAGGATGATACTATTGGACTGAGATTTTTTATCTCTCCAGTAATTGGTAGTTTGTTAACTGCTGTTACTATCACCTGGAAATAATATAATTTATTAATGAAAGAACGATACATTAAATAATATTTAACTTACAGCAGGTGTTGTGAGAAAGAATAGAGTAATTCCCAATGCTAGATTAATCAAGGTAGCGTTAAGGTACCAGCATGGTCTTGCTATGCTAAGATTCTCCCAGAAGATGTCAGAAGGTGCTGGTGCGTATTCCACTGTCCACTTTACCGATGGGGCAGAACGTAATTGTCGGCGCATTGTTCTCGCAGCACCGGGTGTACCTAACGAAAGTTAATTTAAATATTTTTTTCAGTTACTAATTAATTTCTTACAAATTACCTAAGGTAACAAAGGCTATTCCAAGTGGTTTGCTCAGGGCGACCTTTCTCTCCTCTTCTACAAGCGCAGTCAAACGTATTTCTTCGTTGGTATAAAATTCTATAGCATCTACCTGTATGGTGATCGGTATTAATACTTGTAAATAGTTCAGTTATGGATGGAAACAGTGTTGTTTAATTTTCAAAGTGGAACTAACTGTTTTACAGCAACAGCCAATCACTTGGCCACAGGGATATGGGTAGAGACGTAGTGGTTCCTTGCGTCTGGCATAATTTTCGCAATACAGACGTGCCTGTTCCGCACAATCTCTCATCTCGTCAAGAGCTGACAATCTTCTGATATCATGTGCCAGGGTTATGCTCTCTACGGTTAATGTGGGAAATGCTTCCCTGAAACCGATTTGAAGTAATATTAGGAACATAAATTTATCATTAATAGAAAGATGATCTATCAACTACAAGATGGATATGAGTAGTTGCCAGGTATTTTGATTTAGACATTTAAAATCGTTTATATTTTTTCAATTGTCACTCTGAATAATATTAATTTACACAATGAGTGTCCTATAATGAATGATTGAGAATTTAGTTTATTCATATACCTGAAATACTGAGCAAGACTCTCTACGTTGCATTGGTGTTTTGGTATTTCTGTTATTAGTAGAGTGCGAGCTGCTAATTCACCTGCTGGCCTCGCATCTCTTACCTGTAGACGTTTTATGAGTATTTAATGGAGGATTATATTCTAGTGCCACTATCAAACACAATGAATATTTTTGATAAATTATACACCCACTTGTTTCATGAAACGCCTCATGACGAATCCTCCGATTGGCAAATAAGATAAGATCAAAATTGTGTGGACCCAAATCCATGAAGATGTTGGATCAAGATTCGATATTGTTGTGTGACTGAACGTAGCATTGTCACCTTGCATATTACAATGAAAATTTATTGGTAATGCTATGCAAAGGGATACGATCACCATCATTCCTGTTAATATGATTAGGTGACGTTCAAAAGAAATATATAGTAAGCCATCAGGTCCTGCACGTCTCAACAATTCCTCATCCCTGAAACGAGTTATTATTAAGATTTTGTGTTATTAGATACTGCATTGGAGACAATTTCTAGACTAACGTTACTCTGAATGCAGTAACTATCCATGACAGAAATCCTCTATCAACTTGAGATAATTGAGTATTGACGGATGCTTCTATACATGTTATATCAGCATCCCTGCTATCATTATCACCGAAGAATAATTCCATCCATCTGTTATCTGTTTTGTGTAGTAATGCCAATCGGCCATAGTTCCATGCCTTCTTACGCAGTAGGCCAAACAATATAACGAGAAACTGCCAAACAATAGATCATTATACATTATTTAATTATATAACTTGATTTAATATTATTTAAAAAGTGTATACAGTGTGCATGCACATGGAGTCTTACTGTACAGAAACAATTTCCAAACATATGATATTAGAAAGCAATATATTGTTGATTCTTACCACAAATCCAATAAAATTTAATAACAAATTCTCTGGAATACCAGCATATACATCTGTAATTATTGTTGTATTATGTCTAGGTACTGGAATGCAAGTCTCCGGTGATGGAGAATCATACACGCTCAAACTGCAAATCAAATAATAAATATTCAGTTACATAAAAACGGAACACGATTTCCATTATTAATTTCTAAGTCATAAATAGAGAAGTCTCCATGCAGAAAGTTCTAACATATACCAACACAAGGCTGTTAACTTTCTATCAGATGTAGATTTCGCAAGTCAAAGAGATTTATAACAATACAATCAGCTCATCAATAAATAATATTGTTATATTTGTTTAATTCTAAAGACATTCAGATTCAGTATATAACGTACACAACATGTGATTAAAGATAACAGGTTGTTAAAAATTAGATCTGGAATAAAAGAAATTATTGCATTTAGCATAGACGCATATCCAAGCAGATGCTCAGACTTCGAGACAATGACCCGATCAAAATTAATCAATTGAGAACTAATAACAACAAGATGATAAATGACATAACAAAAACAAATTTAGAAGTTTGACATGACCTGAAATCGCAAAAAAATTGAACGTATCCATCTCAAAAAATTTGAAAGTCTAGAGAAAACAAAATTTTTTTCCGTGATCAAGAAAGTATAACAAGGAGATTCTATACAGCGTAAAACTTACTTGGCGTAATAATTGTCCATAATTGCAATTTATAGAATCACAATCTTATTGTGAAGGTGCAAAATAGCATGTTATAAAACTTAAATCAACTTGACACATCTTGTACATCTGTTATCGCCACGAGTGACTGCTTTGTCTGACGTAACCTAAATTAACCTCACAATCTCAGTCGTCTGTCGAATACCATACTCCAAAGCTATACTCCAATCGTTCTAACTCAGCAATAGTTGTTTCTCTTTTAGACACGTGCTGATAAACAGGGACAAGATATTCACATATTTGCTGTCAATGTATTTTAGAATGGGTAACTATGTACTTAACGGATAAAGCGTCACATTTTCACTTTTCACCAAAGCGGTAGTATGAGTCAGAAAGTCTTAAACGCGGATGTATAATATTTTGGTTAAGTCTCTTAAACAGGTATAGATTTTGATGTTGTATATAATTGTGACGAGGTAAAAAAGGAGTAATTGTATAAATTATGGTTTTATTATCGATAATATTTTAAATTGTATAATTGATGTATTTACAAATAGAATTTCTTAGTGAATTTTGTTATAATACGTTTTTGTATGTCATGATACTTGTGCAATTTAAAATCATAAGTAAGAATGATCATATATAAAGCATTGTACTGTAATTTATATATAAAATTTATTCATTTCCTTTTGTAATGATCTAAAGGCTGTAGAGTTCCACTGGTAATGGAGTCGAGGATCCAAATTTCTTTTAGACCATTCCGACCAATAGATACTTTAGCATTTTCTGGTATTTCAGTGACCCAGCCACCACCGGTTTTAACTAATTCTTTTAACACTGATTGAGGTGGAGTGGTACCACTTTCAATATATACATATCCACAGGGTGCAAATAGTTCCGGAATGTAACCGTGTCCAAAAAGCTGACGCTCCCTGCGGTTTTTCTAGATAAAAATATAATGGTCAATAAAAACCACAGACTCCTTACAATATAGGAAAATATGTTCTTGGCATACCTGTACTGCATCTGCAAAATGATTCATCTCGAATCCTGCTGGGTCCAGCCAGTCATTGCTTTCCAAGGATTTTAGTATCCATTCTAACGTGATAAGCCAGCAGCCTCTTATGATCCCACGGAGTAGATTTATTGTTCGTACTCCAGTACTTATCACATGTGTTGTGTATTGAGTTACGTTTGCTTCAATTTGTGCTGAACCAAGAGAACGTGCGACGGATTTGACTAGAGCTTTGTCTCTAGAAAACATGTAAAATAATACGTAGTATGTGGTACTGCAAGTTACATTTATATATAGACAATCATAGTGACTTACTCATTTGACAGTCCAGTTGTGACAATAACTATTTTTTCTGTCTTACGTTTACGCCAATTACAGAGAATGTTTTTTTCAGGTTGAAAATAATTCACAGATGATCTAGCTCTGCCAGACAAATTGTCATGATTCAGTGACTTCTGGGAATTAGCTTCTAATTGTTCGATTATATCTAAATTTGTGATTTTTTTCACGACAATCTTTTTACTAATCACCTTTCGTCGTTTCTTAGGTTTTTTGGTCTGAGTATAGACTGTCTGCAAATTCTCATCTGATGCTGTATCATCATCTATTTCCTTTTGCGATGCAGGTTTATGTACTGTTTTAATTTTTACTTTACCCTTATTTTGTTTCTTATTATATTTCCTTTTAATTCGTGGCTCCTTAGGTGAATGATTTTCCATGACTACTGGACTTAATGAAATCAATCGAGAAGTCTCTCGAAGCGGTAGCAACTTCTTTTTCTTAGATTTTTCCACCTTATCATTAGGTTGTTCCTCCTTGTCATTTTCCGTCTTCTCATTTGCATCAGGAAAATGTTCTGCGATTGTCTGTTTATTTTTCTCACCATCAGACGAATCTTCCCTGGATGAGGAGTTATCTAATACGATTGTATCAAGAAGAACAGATGAACGAGTTCGTACCCAACTGGTAGGATGTTTCTTTTGATATGGTCTTTGTGACTTTGTGAACCTAGACATAAAGTAAGATTTCATTTTAAATCTGTAAAGACAAATCTTAAGTTTACTGTTAAAATATTCCATAGGAAGATTCACCTTTTGATCCTTAATCTATCTTCTAAACAATGATACGACCCCACAGAACTAGAAGAATCCTTATCCATATCAAGATTCTCATCGTCTTTTGCAGAAGGAAACTTCTGAGTGTCTAACTGTTTGGCATTGCTATTATACTTTATTTGTGATTTTAATAAAACCGAGCGACTCACTGGGAAAGGTGTACCTTCTATAAAGTAAACGCCATCTTTTAAACTCTGTCTATTACTTCGTATGTTCTCGTTCTTATTTGTTCCAGGAACAGATATTTGCGCCTCTTCATTTCTCGTTGATGGACGACTGCTTGATGTAGAACTAATTCGCTTTGTTCTAGAAATATTTCTTAATCTTTCAATCAAAGACATGTCTTCCAGAGAATTGAAGTAACGGCAGTCGTCGTCTGATTTCTTTTCTAAATTTATTTGTGCGGATTTATCAGATGATGATTGATCTATTGGTTCTGTTGTCTCATCATCAATTGTAGACAGCTGTTGAACTCTTTTATTATTTTTATTTCGTACGAGTGAACATCTTTTAAGATTATCCAAAGAAGTATTCATTTGTAAGGATGTACGCACTGTGGATGTGCTTTCTCTCTTATCTGAAGCCAATTCCTCTTCATCCATAGACATATTTACGACATTTGATTTTTCACTTTTGTCTTCAGTTTCTAGATCTGGACTTTCTTCTACTAAATAAAGATTTTCTGCTTGAGCTAAGCTAAATCTACCATCTATAGAAGTATTAACATTGAGTGAAGTACGAACAGTAGAGTTACTATCCTCTTCTTCATTTAACACAGACTTTAAATAAGTTGCAGGCTCCTTAAACAAAGGATTTGTAGGTACCTTGCCGATTTTCGGTTCATTAACAATTTTTAAACATTTTTCTGTTGTTGGTTCTATAATGTTATTCAATTCCATTGCTGATTTTGAAAATTGTTTTATGGTTTTTAATGACCCAAATTGTTTATTACAACTAATTCCACTATCTACTGTTCTATCTAGTGAAGTGTTCACGTTTAGAGATGTTTCGTAAGTGTCTGCCTCGTTGCTGTCGTCGTGAATGATTAATTTTGAACTTCTCATCTCATTATTAGTTTTGCAATGTATAACAGGTTCATCTAGATTTGAGTTTTTAGAAGATGCTGATCCCTTAGCAAAGAGTCCGAGCCCTTGTACTTCTGTAATTTCCATAGGTATAGACCCGTTAACAGTAATGCCAAGTTCACTAATATCTTCCCCTGTATTTCTCTCAGAAGTTACTTTATCATTAGTCTCTTGTTGTTCTTGATTCATTCTTTCGATATATTCTTCTACGTAAGAAGAACATACACTTGGCGCAGCAGGTAATATATCGTTATTTCTATTGTCACTTAATGAAGTTTTATCATGCCTTAGTGTAGAACTTGAACAAGGGTTTAATTCTTTAGATCGAAGACTTAAGGACACTTTCGATGAGCTGAGTCTTCTATTGGTTCCTGTTAGTATGGGACTTTGATGTTGTGAAATTTCCTTATCCAATGCTGGGCTATTTATTATGTTCTTATTCGAAAGACATTTCTGTAGAGCAATATCTTCCGTCATTAGTCGTTTTCTCGGTGACTCCAATTCACCATCATCTGACATTGTGGTTTCATCAGAATCGAGTTCCATAGTTTTATGTTTATTTTGGTCAATAGATCTAGACACGTTTAATATATTTCGTGCCCGACGTTCATCTGACTTATTTTGTTCTTCAAAAAGGCGTTTCGTTCGTACAACAGATATAATACGACATTTGACAGTAGACATATTTTGCTTTCCAATGGATTTCTTTGGTGTACTGATAATACTTTCATTATCTTCAAGGCGATCTTCAGTCTCTGGAGGCTCATCAACAGATTTTTGCTTAGCCTGTGTAATGCATTTGTCGGAAAATCTCATAGAAGTCATCTGTACTGGAGAATCTGAGCTACCATCTGACATTGTAACTTGATCCTCATTTTCTACGATTAATCGTATTCGGGGTGATTTTAAACGCTCTATAGGTACAAATGCCTCCATCAACTCTTTCTGAACCATAACTTGACTGGTCCTTATGGAGTATTCATTTTGTTTATCAAAAAGTTGCATGGTTTTACTTAAAATTGCATCTTTTAAGTCTCTACAACTTTCATTTAAATATTGATCCTTATTTTCAATATTCAGCATATTGACATTATTTTTCTGTATTTTTGTATTTTGTGTAGACTTTTTGTATAACGTATTCATGATTCTTTCATTTTGCATTTCATTATCGTTGTTAAGATTTGTCATTATGACATTCATTGCATGCAGCTTTTTTTCATTTTTATTTCTCGTATTCAGTAAAATATCATTATTTGTAGCATTAATCTTATTTGTTTCATTGCTGCTATCTTTGTCAGTATTGTCAATATTACAATTCTGTAGCACCGATGTGATACTCTTTATCTTTCTTTGAGAATTCTTACGCCTTGTAACATTCTCAAATAAACTTTGACCAGGAACTTCTTTTGAGGAAATGACTGTTTTATCATTGGTCATATTAGTCTTATCCAATGAATCAACATCATGATCTTCGACAGAACAATTAGTAAGACTTGAAACATAGCTTAAATTTACTTGCAAAGAACTTCGTCGATCCTTCAAACTGTCATTCTCTCCTGGAGCACTTGAATTTATTGTAAATTTTTTTAACTCAAGGCTCATTTTCTATAAAGAAATAGTCTCACAATTTCAAATAAATATGAGTTATTAGGTATTATGTCACGATGTCCGTGTAAACAATGTTCTGAACATCGAATATGCTCCAAAAACGGAAATTCCAAAAACCCACCACATAATGCTATCATGCATTTTATTAGTATGCTCTCACATATCGCATACATAAATTAAACAATGCACAGTTCTTAAGTTCAGAGAGGTTACAAGTTAATTGTTTAAACAGAGGTTTAAAACCTAACACGCACAGCTCGGTCAACAAGTCGCGACATCGTTCTGTGTCCATATTTGTCTACGTCATTGGGAGAGCCAATCACATTGCTTCAACGTAACCCCACTCCGTAACAAACTCCTTTGAGCATCGGGGCCCAAAAGTTATTCATAGGCATTGATAGGCATCGATAAATGTGTCAAAAGTCAAAAGACTTGTACTTAAAGTTTGTTAAATACAATTAAACAGTCTTGAGCTAGAGAAAAATAGTAATGTTTTTCAATATTTATGAATTTATTATATTCTTCGTTTACATAGACATTTGTCCATATGGATGAATAATTCTTACATCGGGACGGTTTACGTTGGTTTACGTTTTCCCGCGTATCGTTTCGTGTTGCCCCTGCTTTCAATCATCAAATTTTTGAAACTAAAAATTGTCAAACACTTTTGATTCATTAAATAAATTCCTTTTTCTGATATGCTCGGAATATAAAGGAACGGTTCCTTCGCGTGGATTTTGTGATGTCTCAACACGGAGCTGCATTGCAAACATATAATCAGGAACTTGTAAAATGTGAGTTACTTAAAAACATAGCCTCTTAAATTACTCAACTGAACATTCAAATGTTTATAAATCATTAAATTTTTGGCTAAACTGCAGAATACAACTCCTTCTTGAAGCTAGCTATGAATTATTTAGAATTTTTTTTTACATGAAGCTCTTCAAGAAGGACTCGTATTCTGCAGTTTTACCAAATTTTCTATTCAGGAATATGCAATTTTGTTAGGTGATATTTTTGAATATATAATTAATTAAGTTTACTCTACTGTTGGTTTTTCTTTCTTAGGTTTGGAGGAGATGAAACTCAGGCGAACTGAATTACAAGAACAGATTGATTCGCAGGAAGAGGAGAAAAATAATCTACAGCGAGAGATTGAAAAAATGTCCTGCAAATTGACTCGTCTTAATGACAGTCTAGCAAAGAGGATAGCTGTACGGAATGAGTATGACAGAACAATTGCAGATACAGAAACTGCATATATGAAGGTAAACTTTGATTAGTTGTTATACTTCATATGTAAAAATTTGAACTAATAATAGCTTTGATTGAACGTTGTGAAATCCTAATAGATAACATTGACACAGTAAGTCTGGCACATGCTTCAACTCGGTATAATTAATTACACTGTGATATAGAATAAAATAGACATTTTGTTAATGATGTATAATTTGCATTGCTTTATTACATACATATGTTACATTCTGTTACTAATATATTTTTCTCATTACTAAAACTAATTAAATCCTTAAGAATGGAATGTACATGACACTATTATATCATTAATATGAGTGTTTATAATGATGTTATCATCATTTGTTACAGATCTTGGAAAGTTCACAGCTACTTCTCAACATGATTAAAAGGGAGGCTACGAGCTTAGATCAAACTTTAGTAAAGACCAACATGGACAAGCAACAGTTTCGACAATGAGGGCAAGTCCTTAGTTTTGAAAATATATTTATTAAAATATTGATCTTTTCCATAGTAGGCACATTGCCACTGACTATGGTTTAACAAGTACAAAATTGTAAATATATAGGTTTATAAAGTATCATTAACAGTGTAGAATATGTTTGTACATTGATGAACTTTTATACAGTATTTTCGCATACTTTCATCATCACAATGCCTACGAAGGCGTACATGTATTTATGTCGCATAATGTTATATTGTGTTCGTAAGTAAAGAAGTGTAGATGCCTTTTGTAATAAAAGTTCAAAGAACTAATATGCTCTAATAATAATCATTACATGTTATATGAGATTCTCTTAGGTTTATGCTGCAATTATTTAATTTTTGTTAAGTTAATAATATTGCGTACTAGAGTGCTCAATCTTAAATGGCTCCGCAGATACATTTGATCTGGCATTTTTATGTACTCGTACTAAATACTAAAATTTGAAAAGATCGTAAAAGCATTTCAACACAACTCTACGAATATAATGAAATACCATGAAAACTTGAATATCTATATGGCTTCATTTTCCTACACAGGCTATGCAAAATAGATATGTTAGAAATCTATTTGGAATAATTATCATTAACGAGGCAATCGCATTCAGTACAATAACATTTAAAATAATCGTATATGACCAAATTCTTAACACTGTTCTCAAGCGAATAAGGACATTGGGCAACATTATATTAAATCTTAACTAAGCATTCCCTAATGCCTTTTGTTCGTTCCATATATCTAATAATTCTTGTGGATCTCCGTATCCATGCGATGAGATTACATATTTATAATTATATTTCGTATAGTCCTTCTTATAAAAATGAAATTCTTCACAATGAAACGGTTCAATTTCAGCCTTCTTAGCGACCAAGCCCAAAAAAATATCATCGAATCTAAAATGTTTCGTGTAAAGACTAGTATAATACATATCTAGAAGCGCTTCTTTCGATAAAACATAAGCACCAGCAGTTACATACGGTGGCCACAAGTGGTATGGATATTCCTTTAGTGAAACATACCATTTGGAGCTTCTGTGTCTGTGCGGCGATGACACAAAAACGAAGCCGGCAAACAATCTGACATCTTCAGGAAGTTCCAAATCGAAAACTTGACGTTTTGTTCTCTTTGACAGAGACGTCATTGACTTCGATGTGTAAACAGGGACCCCGAATGCTCTTTCACTTTCTTGTAACGTTGGAGATGGAAATTTGGTTTTCTCATGATTTGTCCAGCCAGGTTTGCGTCTCATTGCTATTTTTTCCTTGGCAGTTGCCCGTTTATTACGACTTAATATAGTGGAATTTGGCTTTTCAAATACTTCCAATTTTGTTTTCGGAGAGGCCCAATGTGTAGTTTGACTTTCTGACACATTCGTTGAGGCAGAATCCATTGTAGCTTTTATTTCTTGTTCGTCAGGAAACTTGGTTTTATTATGATGTGTCCAACCAGGCTTACGTCTCATCAATATCTTCTCTTTCACAGTTGCTCTTTGGCCACGATAAATTGTTAATGTATTATTTTGATTGTTCTCGGTTAAGTGAAGAGGCACTGATATATTTAACATGTCGGATTCTTTTATTTCCCTTTTGTGTCCACCTAGTTTTCTAGTATCTCTGAAGTAGTCTGGATAGTATGTAGGATTACGTATAAATCTCAGAACGTTCTTAACTGAAACGTAAACATCGTCGTCTGCGAACATATAGAACTTGGAGGTGCTGCAGTAATTCACTACCCACTTGAATCCCATCATTGTTTTAATGGTATTATTATAATAAGAGTCCACGAAGTCCGCTTGTACGATGTCTTTATATTTAGCAGCTTCTATTTGCACTTTTGATTGAAGTTCTTCATCGTCAGGCCGGACACCCAGTAAAAAAACTGTCCTTGTTGGCACATCAAAGAACCGTTTCTCAAAGCCCCAGGAATTCCGTATAGCTAGCCTTCTATCAAAGTGATCGATAGCAGATTTGACTATAAAGACAATCTTCAGTGACTGATACTCATTTCCTGAACACTTGTTTCTTACGTCAAATGTATAGTTATAGTTGTATTCATTTATGGGACTGACATCTGGTTTCTCGTTATGTCGAATTTGTTCCACAAAGTTATGCACATCCCCGTCAAATGGGTATATGAAATGCTCGTCATAAGTAATTTCAAACAAGTGCGTAAAGGCTCCAAAAAAATCTAAAACCATAATGAGTGCCACACTTGCACAGACATGCTTTAGTTTGATTCTTGTTGCCAGCCTAAAGCTCAATTGAAAACACGGTCGCAACAAGCAGTACATTTTACAGAAATCCTTGCTCAATATAATTATAATTTAACATAATAAGATCCTCGTTTCATCCATATCGATCTGAAAAAATAAAACAAGTGCAGTTTTACAAACACGTTAACGTAGCATATATCATATTAAAATGTACTGGTATATTCTGACAATAAAATTGACTTATATATCATTCATAAATATCCACTAAAAGAAATATAAATGTAATTATATCAGCGATGCAGTAGATTATAATATGGACGGCAGAAATCTCAAAAGTGCAGCTATTCAATTTGAGTTACAGAGAATAAATATTGATATGTAATTAAATGAATTTTCAGTATTTAATAAAAAGATTTTCCTATTAAATTATAATTAATGAAAATCATTAATATTTCATCGGCAGGCAATGTTTATAAAATTAGAAACGTAACCTCTAAAGAAACATTCACTCTACCTGCGTATTGCGGCAAAACCTTTACGCGTACATAAATAAAGTTGAAACATAAATACTGGTTACACGAAAAAAGGTACAATAATTTAATAAAAGAACTATCTGTTTAAAAGAATGTAAACCAAACAGTCTACAGTCGTATTATACTGTCTCGGCCGAATGAAAACAATATGTATGTACGGTTGGTTCTTTGACCATATTATTCTCTTACTACACAAAATTGATATTTCAAATCCAATTAAAATTGTGATCTTTTATAAATTTCTAGCTACAGATTCAATCAAATAGAGAGATAGAGCCCTTTATTCTTTAAAAACATGATAATATTATTTAAATACGAAATAAAATACCAGTTTAATAATCAATTGCATTACACAAAGCTACAACCAATGCCAAGGGACAAATTTTCTGTGTGTAGTCGTTATGCAAGTATTAAATTACTTATTGATCATTCTAAACTACTTACCTTTAACAGTTTAGTATTGTATAATTATTACATTTATTACATTATGTTACAGTTAACAATAAATGTATTTCAAATTGAAACTTGCACAGTTGTTAACAAAGTCTTGAAATATTGATGATCGCTACACGCAAGAACATCGAGAGTCTACGATTTCAATTTCTTATAGATTATTATTACAAAGTTTAATATTAATTATCCACTAATACTTTATGAGAACGATTATTGTAACAATTTAAATCTCGCTATTCCCAACGCGTTCGATTCTTTGTCGATTCCGCCACAATGTGCCTCTTGGCGCCTCTCTCGCCGAGTGATTTTGTGTGGTACCGTGTCCCAACAAGTGCTGCCACCTCATAGTAGGTCGCGAACTGCACGGTTAGTCAAAACATCGTTGCATTTTAGTTCTATTTATAGAAAACAACCTCGTATCCGTAGTTTTTCAAGATTTTTCACGTGCCCCTAAAAAAGGATACACCCCGGAACAACATTGGGTATCGATCGCGTGATTTTGGAAAAGTTCAACGACCTTGGGGTAATTGTGACAAGAGAGGCACCGGCCATGTTTATACCGTAGTGAATTTGAGCAGCGGCCCGAAATTAATAGTGATTTTCTCGTGAACTCTTGTGATTCTCGCCGCGTGTTTCGAAGCTCATTCGCGTTGACAGGCGACCTTACGAAATGGAGTCCAGCGAGAGGGGTAAGTTCATAGATTAAACATAAAAACCCTTTCAATATTGAGCTCTGACACAAATCGCGGCTGGGGGCAATGGCAGTGTCAGGGTCGAAACGGAACTAGTTCAGTGACCGCATTCGCGCAATCTTCCACGCGTTTTCCTGAGTGAATCCACGAAAATCAAAGCATCCTTTAATCGTCATACATACCCCAATAAAAAATCTTGAGTTGCTTGACATAATTCTCCGAGTTTCATACTCTCGGCGAAATCTATGTCACGCAGCTCACTTTTGCCCATGACTGTACGCTCTCTGCTTGTCCGCTCCCTTGCTGCTCATTCCTTCGCACACGTTAGTATATCTCAATTTACCGCCTCTTTTGCACGTGTCCCGCACGTATAACTTATGCCGCCTTGTGTTTTCAAACAAACTAAACGGCCGCCAGAAGATTTTCACAGAGAATCTCAAGAAATTATGATGAGTACCAAAGGCCCTTGCGACAAGGGATTCTACAATATCCAAGTGCTACAGCCATTACAGAGTTATTAATTAACCTCAAACTCTACATCGATAAAGCCCAATTCGATCGAAAATTCGATCATTATAAGGTTATCTCCTGCATTGATTTTATACTCTGCTTATCGACCCTTTTGCCTTGACAGGGCACGTGAGACATTCTCTGCGTACTGTACACATGTTGTATAGTGGCGACACCTGTCGCCCATTGCTGGCCTACCTCAAGCTTCCGTGAATTATGCATCCCTTGTGAATCACCCCTTATGTTCACCCTTATTTCACTTCAATGGACGTAGGGCGAGTGGTATTCAGTGTTTGACTAATTTGCAAATCAGCAGATTCATTCTCAATTAAATGTTTACCTCGCCATTACCATTATTAGCATTGTACGTAACAACGAGGAGTAATAAGATTGTTCTTTTCTTTTAGAAAAAAAATTAACGGTGGAATCGGTTGTTGTTCATTGCCAGCAGAAAGGAGTATTAGGAAACTGCATGGAAAAAACGAAGAAACAAAAAAGTAATTGTAAATAGGACTTACAAGAGACATTACAAAGTCTCGTGCATTGATGCGAGAGAAACGTGAGTTCCTCTAAAATGTTTTTAACCAGTTACTTTGAATCTTAGATAATGAGGAGTGTCTGAATGTAACGTCAAGGACAGGCGATAGTCAACAAGCTACATGTATCTATCTCTAATGCACTTACTATATATTATATATAATTTAATAAAAGTTCAATTGCCCATCAACACGCCAGGATCTGGTCGTAATGTCGTTGGACTTGTAGCTTCACTATAATAATTCAAATCAAGCAGGACCATCAAGCACTCCTTGCGGTTTTAAAATTACTGCGAACAGTTAAATTCATTTGTTCTGATGCTAGAATCATTCTTCATTATTCAAAGTCAAAACTTACAATGGCTCTGTCATATTCGTTTTGTATCCTTGCATTTTTCTAGCATAAAAACCGTGACGTGACATTTTCAGAGTTAGAAGACGTCCTGTATCTTGTACCACTTGGCATTAAGTGCAGTAAATTTTTTTTCTCTTAGTATTTGGCAGTTTATCCAATCAAGTCAGGATACCTTGGATCATAATATTCCACATTCTTCTGTCCACTTCCTCCGTTCTACCAGCAGCACTCGCTTGTAAAATAATAGAAACTACGTGCCCACCGATTGGCGTCCAACGAAGAATATTAAATCCGTAATGAAATAGAGAACGGGGTAAACTAATGGACGAATGAATTAGAATGAAGGTCAGGCTTTGAAATAGAACTAATGTTGCTATCCGAGCTTACCATTAACTCTGTAGAATAATATCACATCCGCAATTGCAAATTTCACGAAAATTCTGCCCCCATGCGTTTGCTAATCCACCCACCATATTTTATTTCTCATCCTCAATCACTGCACCGGGCTCCACCCTCGATCCTTTGTTTTTTTAACCTCTTTGTCACGCTTCCTTTTGCCCCTCGTTCTCGTTATATAAGTCCAAGGACGTGGTGCACGCTATTCTATCCTCTACGTTCACGGCAGCTCAGGATAATATACATATATAGTAGCTGTGCTCTGCCGTGATATACAACACCCTATACCACATTCCAGCTATACCGCGTTCGTGCTTTTCGTTCTAATGTCGATCACCATAGCAAACCGTGGATCAAACCAGTTTCATTGAACGGCGATCGATCATTTGGATCTGTTAATATTTGATATAAATTTAGCCTTGATATTTTTCTCTTACTCTCACACACCTCTCTCTCTTTCTCTTTTATTTAAAATTCCTTCATTATTATCTTCCATTAGCTCTCGCTCTGTCTAGGCAACCTCGGAATTCGCATGTGCAGCCTCCTGGCAATTTTTCAACAATCCTCCTCGATTCAAAGGTCCACCAGTATAAACTGTCAGTCAACCTGAAATCCCACGTGGCTTTGTTATTCAATGTCAACAGTACTGTCAGACAGCACACTTACGGTCAGTCATTAAAATTTATCTGACACTCATCCTGCCTGAAAATGACGTTCGGACGTAATTTTGAGTTTCGATACTATTTTAAAAATCACTCGCATTCCCCGTCCTGACCTTCCTTATCGTTTTCTTAAAATAGAAATCAAGTCTCGCAGGCCTGTCTTCATTATTTTTCATTTGCCTTTCTCTCTCTCTCTCTCCCTCCAAGCAAGCCCACCCTCACCTGGTCCCTCTTCAACTCGAAACCCGGGAACTCGACCAAAAGGTTAGCGCTCGACACTCGTCCTTGGCTCGTCTCCATTGCTGAATTCGTTCCTCGTTGCCAATTATAATATCTCGCCATTGCCAACCTTTTTTTTTTTGAAACAGAAGAGAAGTACGTGCACCCATTAAAAATTTGCGTGGTCGAATTATTTAATATCTCCCAAGACCAAGACGTTGGAGGTGAATTTGATTTTAATCAAATTGGTACAATTTCAAATTTTCCCGTCACTCAAAGAATCCATTCGTCCTCGTCCTTACGTTATACGGATATCCTGAGGCTGCACTATCCATTAACTCGTCTCCACGATACACCTTTTCCTCTTATTAATGACGCGACGCAACACCTAGTCCCATTGTTATGCAATCTCTAGCACGCATTGTCATATACGTTCCCACGGAGCGAGTTCACGTCACGAACCCACTCGCCCATTGCCAATGAGTATCCAAGCTCGTTTCCTCGACGCTCTCTCGTTACTTCTTTATTTTTACTTATAAAAAGGTAAACAGCAGCGCGGATGCATAATCGTCCCTGGTATAACACAGGATATATTTATCCGTACGTTGTGCTTAGGACGGCTCGCTCTAGGATCGATATTATTGATTACGTACTTTCACTTGATATACTGCCGCCACGCTGTGACGACGTGGTAACTGCGCAACGGCCCTTCGATTTAAAACGAATCTCGAGCCGAACCGTTATTATTATTAGGACGCGCGCCATTATTCGGTACTTCTCGTCGCTCAATGTCATATTCTAACGAAACTTTCGGTGGCGGCTCGAATGTTTTTCTTCTTCCTTTTTTCCTTCGCTCTTCTCACTTTACGTGCAACCAATCTTGCACGTGTCTCTCTCGAGACTTGGCACGAACCCATCGAAATTCCGCTGTGACTAATAAATCCTACCTTCGTAGTTCGCGGTATCGTTTTCCCGATTAAACATTAATGGCCGGTCGCGTTTACTTTAAGGAGTCGTTATCGTGAATGGAATTCGAGGCAGTTTGCAACGCGCGTTATAGTCGCCGGTGAATAATAAACGATTTCGTAATTCGAGATATTTTTGTTTCCGACGAATTTCGCATATAGCGTGTGTATGCGTGTATATATTGTAACGTAGCGCAGCTGCGTAACGCAGTGTAGCACGGGGTACATGACCAGCGCAAATTACAAACGATCGAACCTGATAACGTTGTGCCACTGATAAGGACTGTATTACGTACAGATAATCGATAAGGGGTACGCGTAAATATTTACATAGAAACTCGTGTCGTTTATACGGCATAAATAACGCATTGTTTTTCATCGTTTTTACTTATCTTCACGCCTATGGGACATTCCCAATGGCGGATTGCACTGCTGGCAATTAATAATGTATAATCTGCTGTCTCCTCCTTCCCCCGCTGCTCCTCCCACGTGACCTTCCCGTCGTTACGGAACTACGCGAATTCATTTGAACACTCATCTTGAACTAGACTGCGACGTCTCTCTTTGAATTTTTACAAATTCCGAAGTCTTGTCAAACCTTATCTTTCTCATTGTGTCTTGCGATATCGATGCAATTATTCTTTCGTGCATTTAGATTCCTCGTGGACGCACCACCAGATCCCGTTTTATAGCTTGCGTTACATGTGCGCGAGAGCGCTGCGCATGCATATTGTATTACGCAACGTTTTATTATTGTTGTCCTCGTCAAGGACGCCGTAGACTCTGCCCCGCAAAGTTTCGTACCGGGTACGCGTCGCGACGCGTACTTATCGAGACGTATTGTTCCTCGTTTGGTTTTTCAATTCTCTAAGACCGCCGGGGAAAACTGCGCTGGGAATCGGCAATCATCCAAGATGGCCGACCGAAAATTCAAACTGATCGGTCAGTTACGCGTTTGGTGTTGCCCTTGAGATACGCTAGGAATCTTCCTTACCGGCCGATAATCATCCTTATTTATCGCTGCGTACGCCGTGTGCTCGGCCAATAGGGAAATTCCGTAGGTTACGGATAACTCGGGCTCGAGAGGCCAGACGGTATAAATAAATGTAAATGGACTTATGGCAGTTTCCTATACGAACTGCGTTAAGGTGATATCACAAGCAGCGACAGAGACGAATGTTGTCTGTTGGCGATAGCTGTTATTGGAGTGGCGCGTTATCTTTCGGAGCTTTCGCGTCGTGTTTTTCTTCGTCTTCGCTCTTTTATGTTATTTAGTTACGACTTTAACGTATCAGGGCGGTATACGCATTGATCGCGGGGTGCTCGGCGTCGCACGAAAAGTTTCGGCGGCAATGCCTGGCTCTCCTGGGCGAGCGACGGCTTTACGGACGTTGGCGGGGGTGCGAGCCTGGGGCTCTTGGGGTGGGGAGAAGAGTGCATTCTGCAGACAGAGCTCGTGCAATTGGCTGGAAGGTGCATCCAGTGGGGCGAACTCTCTGGGTGTTTCTCTGTATATATATAGGTCAATGTCAGGACACTCCCGTGCAGTTTAGCATGACTCACCTACTGACCCAGTTCTCACTTGAAGCGCCCTATGCGCGACACCCTCGTTTCACGGCCCTGTCTTACCCGGTCACGATTTGTCCCCAGTGCCACTTCAGGAATGAGGGGATGCTATTCCGTACCACCCAGATAATATCTGAATCTCGTGATCAGTCCATTGTCGTTACGTGTCCGGAATTCTTTATGAATTTTTTTTTTTTTTTCTTATTTTTAATCTTTTATTTGCGAGACGACGAAACGACTCGGATAGAAGTTTTCGTCATTTTTATTTTGACAGGACGAATTTCTCACCGAAGGTTCGTCCGTAATCGCGGATCGTTAATTTTAATTGAAATTCCATACGACGCCCTCTCGTCGGACGCCATTCCGGCACGCTAATTCTCAGAGCGCGATAAAGCCACACGAAAGCGTGTTACTTGGAAACGATCGTCAGGCTCCAGACGATACGAGGTCGCGCGGGGTCATTCGAAAGCCCAGGGTTTCCCGAGGGTCTCTTACCTACACGAGACTGCCGCGAGGACCCGGATCGATCCGGGAGCTCCGGATGCGAACACACCCGGTTCCTTATTCCTCTTCTTTGTATTTTTCTCTCGTCCTCCGATGACTCTTGTGCAGCCACCCACGATTTCTACGTCCGCCCCTCGAACCCCTAACCCATGCAGCGACCGATAGAACGGGGAATGGATAATTTGGACTTTCGATCATTCGGGATCTGAAAATAATCCTGGATTAAAGAAAATCGCGGGTCCCCGATGCGCTTAGATTTTATTTTATTTTATTTTTTTTTCCTACCCTCGACGTTAAACCCTGTTCGCAAGCGAGAGATTTTTTTTTTTCACTGCCAACCCTGGAACTTTTTTTTTTTTTTCTTCGGATTATCTTTCCGACACTTTCGAGCGGATATCGCATTTTTTTTTTTTTATTTTTTAAAATCACACGCTAGCCGCATTGTTGTGCTTCGGGCGGACGCACAATTGATTGGTCCGAGCGTTATAATTGCATTCGCTACAGTTCCATTGTGTACGGATATAATGGATCGTCGATCTTGGCGTTGTGCGTACTCCTTGCTTTCGTTTTTCTTCTTGGCTCTACACGCTATTGATTGAAATTACGTCGCTCGCGGTTTGGCCTGCAGTTTCTTTCTTTTTCTTTTTTTTTTACTTTTATTCTTCTTCAGGGAATCTTGTTTATTGCGACGGACTGCGACCGTGTAGAAAGATTCGCTCGTTAGAGAGTCGCTCGTAAAATTTGGTTTTATTGAGCAAAAAAGTTCCCCTGTATCACCCCACCCCCACCCCACCTACCTATTAGCATCACGGAAACTTTACCAGCGATTAGCTTCTGTGCTTTATCTATCGCCGTCTTGGTTCCTCTTGTACGTCCGTAGTCCGCTCCATTATACGTACCGAACGACTCGTGTGTGTTTTGAGTCTGCGCATGCGCAACGCGAGGGTTAACCGGGGAAGCGAATTGTACTGGCTGGCGGCAACTTTTAATTATCTGCTAAATGTCAAGGTCCTCGAGGTAATTGTCGGCCGCACACCAGTGGTTGGTATACTTTTTTTTTTTGCCAGATTCCTCTTCATTACGATTGTCACGGGATCATCCCCTGAAAATTTACTCGTGTCAGATTTATCAGGACGATACATTTTTCTTGGTGTAATTTTATGGGATTGTTTAATGTAATTTTTGTAGTCGATTCTGTAAATAAATTTTATTTCTTACTTTCTTACTCATTCCTGTGGCTTTACTAATAATTTCTTTTTTTTTGGCTTTTTGTTTCAGGTGAGCCTTTCAACTTTCATTCATCCTCTTTATTCCAGCTGAATGGCGGTCGTGTTATCACGGCCACTGATTGCGGACCAACGGTATCAGCAAAACCCGTAAGAATTAGGGAGAACGATTATCGCTGTAACCTGAAGTTGGCTGCGGGTGGTGCATTGCGCGAAGTTGGTCAAGGTCTCGCGATCGCAGCGCCGTCGAGAGTATGCGCGACTCCGGGGAACCAATAATCCAGCAGCTACCCCGTCGCTGCAACATCAGCCCCCCTAGGAACGTACACAGATATCCTAGACGCTGAGCGTCCCGACGTCCTGGCGCTTTTCCTTGGAGGATGGTCCGTCTCGTATTATAATTTGGCGGTAAATCGAACCGTGCCTCTTCTTTTTTTTTTTTTTTTTTTTTTTTTTTTTTTTTTTTTTTTTTTTTCGTCTCGTATTATAATTTGGCGGTAAATCGAACCGTGCCTCTTCTTTTTTTTTTTTTTTTTTTTTTTTTTTTTATTTATTATCCTTCTCGTGTCGCGGACCTTATGTTGGGTTTGCACGTTAAGTCTCATTGTAAATTTGCATTGTTGTTCCTAACCTTATACGGAATTTCTTAACCGAGCTTTGTAAAGTCTCTGATAAGGGGTAGCTTTGTTTTTTTACATTATATGATTTCATTAAACTTAGATCTTCGTTAGTCTAGGTCATTATATTCTATCGCCCTAATGCGAAATTCTTTATAAATTGTCTGCATTTATATACAGTCACTCTCATGTGCATATATAAATATGAATACTCGCTTAAGGTTGTCACATATTTATTATGCAACTTTGTACATTTGTACACTGGTTGCAGCCATCATCAATCAGAACTGAACTACCCCACGGTATGGGCTCGGCTAAACTTGACTCGACCTTCACCTCGCGTGCACGTGGCTGCAGGTTAGCGTCGCGACGCCGAATAACGCGGACGAGGCTACAATTAGCAATCGATAAAGCTCATTCTCGCTAATTCAGCCCCACCCTGTCCCCTCCCTTTCTATGTAACTGACAACAGGCACTACTTTGCATGGTCACGTATGGGTTCATGCGTGACGTCACGCTCGCCGAAGTAGGGTCCTTGGGATCGATTGGGATACTTGCAATTTTTCACTATTTAGTGAACTGAATTGAATATTTAGTGAATTGAATATTTAGTGAAGTGAATATTTAGTGAAGATGAATTTTGCAAAAATCACATTCCCTACGTTATATTACGAGGTTACGAGGAGGCTTTCACGATCCGAGATCTTTCGTATCGTTGGTAATGCGCCGAGCTCCGTCGGTAAGGAAGATTACGAGAGAAAAAATCCTCAAGAATTTTTTTCTCCTGGCACGTCGACGAAGTAGCTTTTCGTTGTGTATGAAAAAAAAGGATCAAACTGTAAAAATTATATCCAGCGTGCCGTCTTGACGTACCTGCAATTTTTTCGCTTGCTTCTCACGGTGTAGATATTTTTTAAATATTTTTCAATCCCCGTTACGATCATTGAATTTGTGACAAGCGTCGTGCGAGGATCGACCGAGAGGATCAAAGTAGTCCCGAGGGAATGAAGTTCACGGATACTCCAAGAGGTACGAGGTGTATGCAGGCATCGATCGTCCTTAGGAGTGGCACCCGAGCAGGAACGCGAAGATGAACCTGGAGAGGTGGATCATTCAAGGACAAAGGAAACCATCGCGTGCGCAAAGACGATAATATCCCGTCTGCGTCAATCGGAGATCCCGAAGGAACAGCCAGGCTGCTACCGAGGTCGTAAAAGGATCTGCCAGTCTTGGAGTCCTGACCACCTGTTATTCGTATCCTTGATCCTTATTTTTTACTTTTTATAAACCTAGTCTCGCACGGCTGCCGGATCTTGGACTTATTTATTTATATAAAAAAAATTGAGACATCCCGATCCTTCGCCACGTTTACCGTATGCGTTGTGGTTTTTGGAGTAAAAAAGTGCAAAATTTTGTATTTTCATTTTAGGCGATTCGAGGTTCACCAATTTTTTTTTTTATATCGTCGGTACCGTAGGAAGTCGCCTTACCGACTGGGCCAACCGTCGACGTCTACACCTTATACGTGTTCTTCCTCCCTTTTGTTCTATCCAGTGTCTAACGGTCTCGTTACCCCATAGTCAGCCAGTCAACCTGGCCGGTCTCCTCGGGTTCCTTATTAGCAGGCAAAGGGAACGATTGACCATCGAAAATATTTTAAGCTTTCATACCGCGAACAATGACGGCTCTGATTGCTCCTCGATGCTTTAGAATTGGGAGACGATTCTTTGTTTTTTTTTTCCTCCTCTTTTTCTCTTATTGTGCACCTAAAACGCAGCTGCACCTTCGCTACTCGGCTACTCCATTTTCATGGTCGTCTATGGCTACCCTACTTCCTTCCTTCCGTCTTCGTTACACCATGGGCCCTTTTCTATTTCCACCCCGACTCGTTACGGCTTCTTCTTCGTCATCGCTGGCATCTGGGTTACTCGCTTCCGGTTGTTTACGACGGTTTCTGTGAATTCTGTTTTTTTTTTTTTCTTTCAGTTCACAGTCCTAATTAATATTTTTGCTACTTGATTCTGGGTCTGATTGTTTTTCTTGAATTGAAAATATTTTTTTTATTTCCATGCCACTACCCAATGACGTTTGTCCGTTCCCGGAAGTCTTTGCCTTCATTGGTATCCCATCCGGACATATCGTGGACTTCCGGTGTCCCTTCTATCACCCACTTCCCCTCTCCTGCCTCCTACCCCCACGTCTTCTCCCTATCGCTGCTCTTCTTTCCCTCTCCCCTCCCCTCCCATATCACATAGATATACGTCCCTCTCTCTTTATCAGTCCGCACCAGTGTCTCTTTCTTCGTCTCACCCTCGTCCAGGATCCACCAGTCCTAAACTCCCAGTTCGCGTCTCATCCGGGGGAGAAACCAGTTCCGGCGAAGAATGTAAACGGAATATCGCCAAGTCCTGTTAACCTTTTCTCGTCCTACCCGCTGCGCCCGCAAAAACCAGATGCAGCCAGTATACATGTATATACATACACAGAATATTATACGCGCCAGAGACTCCTTCGCTGTGAGGCCCAACTTTGTAAGGCCCAAGTCTGTATCGGAATACACGATTCCGTCGATGCAATTTTATAAAGCAAAAAAAAAAGAAGAGTTCTCCAGACATCCTTGTACAGTCCATACAAAAAAAAGGAACATCCTACTCGTCAATGGGTTTTGACGAATGGATTCTGTCTCCAATTTTTTTTTGTTTCGTCACTTTTCTAATTTCAATTTAATTAACGTGGGTCCCCCGTCCCTTTCCCTGCCACGAGTTCCCAATGCTACCGTCAGGCATCTCTTTGAGAATATTTGTGTACCCACGCCACGGACTCTCACGTGTATTCCAGTCGGTAGTAGACTGGGCTCGCGCGCAGTGTGGCAAAGTCTCTCCTGTCGACGGAGTAGGCGGCTAACCTTGACAACCACACGCAAGACCCGACAGCCTAGTGCTACACTATACAGTAGTACGTACTATATAACGCGCAGGCTAGTGGTTACCGGCGATTGTGTGTTCGCCCTGAGGCGCGGGGCGG